CGCAGGCCCTGCGCGACTCCTCCATGTCCGCCTACATGAGCAGCAAGAAGACGCTGGAGATCAACCCCACCAACGCCATCATGGAGGTGGGTCGTGTGGGGGTTTGGGGTGTGGTGTGCTCGTGTGTGGGGGGGGGCATGGCGCTGGCTGGCTGTGCACAGTCGGGCGCTGGCTGCAGCCGAGCCTGCTGCTGGCGGACGCTGCTGGCGCTGCCGCTGGCTGCTGCTAGGCCTCCCACACGCCCTGCTCCGCCCCGCCTCTGCTGCCACGAGGCTGTGCTGAACGCTGCCCCCTGCCTTGCCCCCCCCCACCCCGCCCGCAGGAGCTGCGCAAGCGGTCTGAGGCGGACAAGGGCGACAAGACGGTGAAGGACCTGGTGCAGCTGCTGTTCGACACCAGCCTGCTGGCCTCGGGTGGGTGCCTGCGGGTGGCTGCCGGTTGTGCGTGCGTGTGGGTGGGTGGGTGGTGGATGTGTGGCTGGGGGCTGGCGGCGGCACCACCGTGCGGAGCCCCACCCGTTGCTTCTCGCCGGGGCCCGCCTGCAACCCTTCCCTTTGCTCCTTTTGTCTCGCCTCGGCCTTCCCGCCTCTCCTTCCTTTGCCCCTGGTCCTTTCCTCACCCTGCGCTGTCTTCCCTCACCCTGCGCTGCCTTCCCTCACCTCCCTCCTTTCCTCACCTCCCTCCTTTCCTCACCTCCTCCTTTCCTCACCTCCTTTCCTCCCCTCCTTTCCTCCCCGCAGGCTTCTCCCTGGAGACCCCAACACCTTTGCCGGCCGCATCTACCGCATGGTCAAGCTGGGGCTGTCCATCGACGAGGACGTGGGCGGCGAGGAGGCGGCTGCCGAGGAGCTTCCGGAGCTGGAGGAGAATGTGGATGAGGGCAGCCGCATGGAGGAGGTGGACTAAGCCATAGGCTCAACATACCTGAGCCCCGCCGCCGCAGCAGCAGCTGCACGGCTCCGGCGTTGCCGCAACCGCGGTGGCGCCCGGGTGCACAGGCGGCTGGCTGCCCGCGGCCCTGGGTCGAGCTGCCCGCGCGGCCGAAACTCAAACCCTGAACACGCGCGGACACCTGGCTGCGTGACCGTTCAGCTGCCCGGGGCGCGCCCCGCCGCCCTCCTGTTACCTTGCTTTGCTTCTCACCACACGCATCCTCCTTGGCACGTTTCCTGTCAGTTTTTTAAGGGCTGGGCTCACATTCTAATGCCTGATCTGCTTCCGAGAACCCCAACCCCACCACCAAAAACATTTGATTGTAACGAAGAAACAGACACGCAAGCAGCGAGGGCGGGGATACTTCCTCAATCGGGGGCTGGAGGGCACACTGCACCCTCTCGCACACTTGTGTTGCCCTGTCAGACAGGCAGCTGCTCGATCAGATTGCAGCTTGAGCAGGAGCTGGCTGCGCGGCAGCAGCGCGCAGGCTGCTGCATACTGTGGTGCGACTCCACCGCCGCGGCTCCCCCGCTGCTAGCACTACGCGCCACCAGTGCCGGCCACCAGGTCGTCGGCTGCTGCTGCCAGCTCGAGCGCAAACGCCGTGTTAGCGCGGTCGGCGGGCGGCGGCAGGACGGACCCTGCGCCGCAGGGAGGGAGGAGAGGAGGGGGGGCGCGGTCAGCAGGCAGCAGCCGGCTCTGGGGTCCGCCCCAGACAGAGACCACAGCGGGGTAGGTGCATGCCAGCAGACTGTGCTCCAGCGCCGCTTGCCTGGCGGCAGCAGCGGCGGAGGGGGCGCGGGCATGGGGGCGGTCAGCGGCGGGGTGGAGGGGCCAAAGGGGTTGCCGCTGGCAGTACCGCCGGTACTGCTGCCGCTGGAGCCCTGGCTGCCCCAGGCAGGTGCCGCGCCGACTGCCAGGGAGGGAGGGGCCAGGCCAGCGGCCTTGAGACCCAGGTCTGGGGCGGCGGCAGCGGCGGCGGCGGCGGCAGGGGAAGAAAGCGCGCCACCGGTGCTGAGCGGCAGCGGCAGGGCCTCTGGGTCGGGAGAGGCGGCCATGAGCTCGACCAGCGGTACCGGCGGTACTGGCACCAGATAAGCGGGACCCGAGGTGAAGCCGGCCGCCTGCGGGCCGAGGTCTGGGGCAGCGCCGCCGCGCCGCCAGCTGGCGCCGTGGCGGCGGGAGGCGGGGCGCTGCCGCGGCCGCCGCGGCTGCCGCCGCCGCTGCCGCCGGAGCTGCTCAGAGGGCTGTAGGTGCTGCGCAGGTAGGGGCCCGCGGGGAGCTCCTCGGGCAGGCCTGGCGCGGAGCGAAGCATGGGCTCGTTGCGGGCGTGGCGCGGCAGGCCCAGGCCAGCAGACGGGGCAGGGGGCCAGCCTGCGGGTGGCGGCGGCGGCATCATTTCTGGTTCCACCGGTGGCAGCGCGGGCGGCAGCTGGATATGAGGCGTGGCCTGGGGGCTGGCAGCCTGCGCCTCGAGTGGCGGCAGCGCAGGCTCTTGCTCCAGAGGCGGAAGCGGCTCCATCTCCGACGCCCCGCCACCCCCACCACTGCCGCCGCCGCCGCCCCCGCTGGCGTCCTGCCCCGCCTCGGTCAGCCAGGAGCCCCCTGGCAGCGGCTGTGCAGCTGTGCCGCCGCCCAGCAGCTCGTCGGCCCACTCTGCGTTTTCCACGGATGGCGGGCGCGGCGGCAGCCGCTGCAGACCGCCCGGCCCGCCCTCGCCGGTGGCAGCTGCCAGCTCAGCGGCGGCGTCGGCCTCGCCCGCTGCCGCAGAGGCGGCCAGGGAGAGCTCGTCTGCGGCCTCTGCGACCGCCACCGCCGCCCTGGCAAATGCGATGGCCGCCGCAGCCTCCTCCACCACGCCGCTCCCCGGTCCTGCCGCCTCCACCGCCGCCTCTGCCTCCTCCGCGGCAGCCACCGCCTCCGCAGCAAACGCCAGTGCGGCCTCTGCTGCCACGGCGTCGGCGGCTGCCTCGGCCTCTGCCCTGGCAGCTGCAGTGGCAGCCGCCGCCCCTAACACTCGCTCCTCTGCCTCTGCTTCCTGTCCCTCCATGCCCCCCTCCCCGCCTGCCGCGGCAGAGGTGGAGGAGGGCACCTTGAGCAGCAGCGGCTCCTGCTCCTGCTCGCTGAGCTGGCGAGACAAGTAGTCCCGGGCGCTACCGCCTGCAGGTAGGCACGGCAGGGGCAGGCAGGCTAGCACTGCTCTGCGCGCTGCTGGCATGCCAAGTGCACAGGAACAAGCGGGGCGAGAGCAGAGGGAGGGGCAGGGGGTGCAGGACATGTGCGGCAGACTGCTGCTCCCTTGCCTGTCGCCGCAGAGGCCGGCGGGGGCACCGATGGCAGCCGGTCGTAGCCGGCTTCAACCCTCTCCTCCTCCTGCTGCTGCTGCTGCTCCAGCTCTCGGGCTGCCGCTCCCTCTGCGCCTGCCTCCTCCTCCTCCTCCTCCTCGGTCGCCGCAGCTGCTGTAGCGCGGGCCCCGCCAGCAGAAGGCGCCTTCTCTGGCGTGCCCACCCCAAGAAGCGAGCCGGGCTGAGCGCCAAAGGTAGACGGCATGGGAGGCGCAGGGTCGGTCGCAGGCTCGGCCGCAGCGTCGCCATGTTCGCGCCGCTCTGGCGTGCGGCGCGACGTCGTGCCGGCGCGCGGCACTGGCGGCAGCAGCCACACGGGCGTCAGGCGCTGCAGGGCAACGCGGGCCAGCGCCAGTTGCTCAGGCCTCACACTCGGCCCCTGCTGGGCGTCCAAGGCGGTCCCAGCTGCTGAGCGGCTCCCAGCCCATCTCACCCCAGCCACGCTGAGCGCCAGCCGCAGCGGGGCGCGCACGCAGAGTCCAAACCAGGCCGCCGCCAGCTTGTTGGCGGCGCCGAGGGTGGCGGCGGCCGCCAGGCCCCACGCCTCCGCTGCCAGCAGGCTGGCCTGGGCTGCCTCGTGGATGGACATGCTGAGCTTGGTGGTGATTAGAAACCGTGTGATAACTCAGTTCTGGCACAGGGTGTCTCAGAGAGGGGCCCGCCAGCCCCCCGGCCAGGCTGACGAGGCAGCTTCAGGCCAGGCGAGGGGGGCGGTAACCCGTCAGCGATTCGCTGCGGGGCCGCTCTCCGACGCGGCGGCCGCCTTGCAAGTTCTCCGTGTGACATGCATGCAGTACATGCGCTGGTGGCAGCAGCTGGGAAGCACCATCAGGTAGGGGAGCACAACCACATTCCAGGTGGAGGCGCGCTCGCAGGCGGGCGGCGTGGCGCGCGCGATGCGCCCTCTTTGCAGCCGCGCCTGAAAGCGGGGGCCTATCTCGCTGCTGGCTCGATCTGCCCCCTGCCCCACTCTGAAGCCTGTGGAGAGGTGATTGGCCTAGGCAAACGGTGCCGATCACGCACCTGGAAGTGAGTGAGTGAGTGAATAGCACCCGGAAGCGCCGAATGTGGTGCTGGCAACGCCCGCCTGCGAGCTGTATGTAGGCCACCCTGAGGCCGCCGCCTCAACTTGTTTGCCCTGCCCCGCCCGCGCCCCGCCGCCGCTCGCAGTCCGCTGCTCTGGCGATGGCAGCCTCGACCAATATCAATGCAGTTGTGAGGCGCCTGCGCGGCAGCAGCAGACGCAGCGAGATTGAAGCAGCCCGAAGCCTGGCTGATCTCTCTTCCAGCCAGGCCAGCAGCACAGCCAATGTAGCGGCAGGCGGTATCCCGGCGCTGGTGCAGTGCCTGGGCAGCGCTCGAAGCAGCGCGGCTTTGCTGGAGGCAGCAGCCTGGGCACTGAGCAATTTGGCAAGCGAAGGCCCAGACAACAAAGCAGCCATTGCTGCAGCCGGCGGCATTCCTTTCCTTGTAGAGCGCCTGCGCAGCAGCAGCAGCGATGCAGTGCATGCGGCCGCAGCCGCGGCGCTTGCTAATCTGTCTGCTGAGAGCCCCTGCCGCTGCACCGCCATTGTGGACGCAGGCGCCATTCCTGTGCTCCTGGGGCACCTGCGCAGCAGCTTGGACGAGACAGTGCAGGAGCGTGCAGCCATGGTGCTGCACAATTTAAGCATCGCCAACCCTGACAACAGCGTCGCCATTGTTGCAGCTGGCGGCGTCTCAGCCCTTGCAGCTCCTGCGCAGCAGCAACGAGACAGTGCAGGCCGAAGCAGCCGGGGCGCTCGTGAATCTGTGCGCTGACAGCCCCAGCAGCGACAGCACCATTGTGGAAGCAGTGGCATTCCTGTCCTGGTGCAGCTCCTGCGCAGCAGCAGCAGCGAGGTGGTTCATCAGCGAGCAGCCACAGCGCTCTTCAATTTGTCTGAGGACAGCCCCAGCAACAGCGCCGCCATTGCGGCAGCTGGAGGCATCCCTGCCTTACAGCTGCTGCACAGCAGCAGCGCAAGCGACGAGGTGCGGAAGGTTGCAGCTGATGTGCTGAGATTCCTGTCCAATGCCGGGCAGCCAGAGGCATCAGCGGCCAGTTCGAGTACAGAGGCAGGGAATGCGGCACACCCAGCAGCAGGAGCCGCATCCACAGCAGAGGCACCGGCAGCGGATGCAGCAGATGCAAGACTCAGCGCTGCCAGGGTGTGTGCAGCAGACGGGTGCGGCAACACGCACGGCCTGCGACGCTGCAGCAGGTAAGCAGTGTGCTGGGCTGGATGGGAAGAGATGCTGTCACGCAGCTTTAAGGCTGCCTGTGTCATGGGTCCACCCTGCCTGGCCGTCTCAGTGCTTCCATGCACCGCCCCGCCTGCATCCTGCTGCGCAGGTGCCGCGCCGTGAGGTACTGCAGCGAGGCCTGCTCCCACGCGCAATGGCGTGCCCACAAGCCAGAGTGCCGTCGGTTGCGTGCGGCTGCCGCTGCAGCGCAGCCCCAGTCGCAGCCCCTGGCGGTGCGTGGCAACTGCGTCAGCTGGCTGGCTGTTTCATTCTTGGGATCTATGTCTGTCGGCCATCTCCCCATTTGCGTGCAGCTCCGTTGGCGGCGTGACTTCCGTGGCGCCGTTGCAGCCCGTGACTCACTGCCCTGCCGGCTGTCCCCTGTTCCCTGCAGGGTTCAGATGGAGTGTAGGGGAGGCGGATCTCAAGCCTGGTCAGCCTGGCCAGCCAGCGCCAGCCGTACCGCCTGCGTTGAGGAGGAGGGCGAGGGGCACCTCACTGCTGTGCCAAGCACTGCTGTGCCAAGCAGTGCCGTCGCTGCGCCATACGGTCCTTTAGCGTTCAATTGATTCTTGATTCTATGATTCCCAGTGCTGTTTTATTGTTGCATGTATGGGGTTCAAAGAAAAAAAACAATGCCCATGTATGGGCAGGGTGTTGGGGCCCAGGAAAGGCAAGCGGCTGCGGGAAAAAGGTGCAAGGTTTTATCGGATTGACTGAGGTAGGAAATCAAATGCAAGCGCAACTTGGAAGGTTCCTCTACGAGCACTGCGCGTTCTCAGATGCGGCGCGGCAAGGCTTCAACAGAAGACGCAGAGGAAATGTGAAGCCCGGTGCGCGGGCGAGCGAGTGGCGCCTTCGGGAACCGAAGAGTGTACAAGGGGTCAGGGGAGCTGCACCAAAATCCAGTCTAAAGCTGGGAACAAGGATGTGCGGTGTGCCGGGGCGCCCAGCGGGCTGCAGTGCCTGGGCGCTGTGCAGCGCCGGGCGCCTCACCACGCCTGTGCAGGCACGCGCGAGTCTTGCATGTGGCTCACAAACGAGTCGAAGCCGTGGGAGCCGTTGGCCAGCGAGGCCTGCTGGCACCAGAGGGGCGGGAGCGGGTCAGGGAGGGGGCATGGCGCCGGCGCGGCACGGCACACCACCCTGCCTCACACGAGAAGCTGGGCAGGAGAGACGCGCGAAGCTGGGCAGGAGCGGCGAGCGGCGCCTGCGCCAGGCAGGTGGCACGGCCACGGCAACGGGCGGCGCTCCCCAGGCCGCTCCCGCGCCTCACCTGCGTCTGCTGCAGCTCCTCGCTCAGCTGCTGCACCTGCTGCTGCAGCCAGTACAGCTCCGCCTCCGCCCCCGCCCGCCTCGCCTGCTCCGCCTTGGCCTCCTGCCACAGCGGCAGCGGGCAGCAGCACAGTTGGCAGGCCAGGGCGGCAAGATGCAACACAAACCCTTCGTACGCGTGATGTGAGTCAACCACAAGTCGACACGCAAACAGCAGCGGCCCAGCCGATGCTCAGCCCACCTCTGTGGCGTTGGCGTATGCCTTCTCCAGCAGCTCTGCGCGGCTGCGCAGCGTGCTGAGCTCGGCGCTTGCCCCGCCTGCCCCGCTCGCCGCCCGCTCCAGCTCCTGGTTTGCGGCGCGCGCCCGCTCCAGCTCCGCAGCCAGCGCGCGCGCCTCCTTCTGCGCCGCGCTCAGCGCCGCCTGCATTCTGCGCTGCTGCCCCCGGAGCGACATGGCATCCTCCTGCGCAGTCTTCCACGCCTTCTCCACCAGAGCGTTGCGGCCGTGGGACATGCTGAGCAGCGCCTTGGCCGCCGCCGCATCCTTCTGCGCCGCATTCAGCTCGGCAGACAGCGCGGACGCCTCCTCCTGCGCCCGGCTCAGCGCGGCCTCCAGCTTGCGCTGCTGCTTGCGCAGCTGGGCGGCGTCCTGCGGGGCGGCGTAGATCAAGGGCAGGCAATGAGGCTAGACACAAGCGAGGCCTGCAGCTGCTGCTTTACAACAGCCCACGATTCAGGGCCCGCGCATGGCTGGGCGCCTGCCCCAGCACCAGCACACCTGTGCCTCCATCATGGAAGCGGCATACGACTTCTCCAGCATCGCGGTGCGGCTGCGCAGGGCCTCCAGCTGCGAGTTGGCTGCCGCCGTCTCGCGCTGCGCCTCCTCCAGCCGCGCCGCCAGCGCCCGAGTGTCCTCCAGCTGCGCCGCCAGCGCCCGCGCCTCCTGCTGCGCCTGCGCCAGCTCGTCCTGCAGGCTGCGCTTCTCGCTGCGCAGCTGGCTGGCCTCCTGCGGGGGGCAGGCGGGGCACGGACAGGGACGTGTGAGACAGCCAGGCAGGGGATGGTAGCCTGGCTGGCTGCCTCCAGCCAAAACAGCCTCTGGCACAGAGGCACCGTGTGGGCATCTGTTCACACGTGGCGAGCGAAAAAACTCCTGGAAAGCAAACCCGGCGCCCCCAAGGCCCAGCGCCGCTCCCACCTCTGCCGCCTTCTTCCAGGCCTCCTCCAGCATGCCCGTGCGGTCCTGCAGCGTGGCCAGCTCTGCCCGCGCGGCGGCGGCAACCGCCTGCGCCTCCTCCGCCTCCGCCGCCAGCGCCGCCGCCGACGCCTCCGCCTGCCGCAGCTCGCCCTGCAGCCAGCTGTTGTCCTGCTGCAGGGCCTTGGCATCCTCGGCCGCCTGCAGCGCGCCAGCCCACGCCTTCTCCACCAGCTGGACGCGGCTCTGCGACACGGCCAGCTGGGCGTTGGCGTCAGCCACCTCCCGCCGCGCCTCCTCCAGCCGCACCGCCAGCTCCGCCGCCTTGTCCTGCAGCTGCCGGTACGCCTTCTGCATCGACACGGCCTGCAGGTGACACGAGGTGCAGGGGCGGTGAACTGGTGAACCAACGGCCAGCAGGAGCAGCGCGGGCAGGCAAGACCAGCAGGTGCAGCAGCGCGGCTGTTCCGAACGGCGGCACATGCAGGCAGGCCGGAGGCACATGCAGCGGGGCAGCACCAGCACAAGACAGGAAAAGCAGACAGCACGGCGCAAGGCGGCTGGCGCACCTCTTCCTCGAGCTCGCCGGCTGCCAGCTGCACGCGCTGCCGGTCTCGCGCCTCCACCTCCGCTCGCGACCCCCAGCCCGCTGCCTGCAGGTGCAAGGCATGCGCCCAGGGGCAGGCTGCTGGGCGGCTGGCACATCCTGAGGCCGCCGGCAGCCACACTGAGGCTGTTTCTCAGCAGCTTTTGGGGCTGCTGTCCACACGGTCCTTCCGGTGCCAGGCTTGACAGATGCCTAGCTCCACACCGCCTGCCACCCACCCACCTGCTGCTGCGCGTGCGCCAGCCTGCCCTGCTGGTGAGCCTGGTGCTGCGACTCGCCAGACGCCCCGCCCTGCAGGCTGCCCCAGGCATCCTGGAACTCCTGCAGGGGCGGAGGGGTTGGTGGTGTGCAGGGTGCAAGACTCTCCAGATGCGGCAGCCATCAGGTGCCGGGCAGCCAGCGCCAATCCAACAAGCTAGTCCATCAGCCAGCCTGTCACCCATCCGCTAAGCTGCACAGCTGCTGGCATGGCAGCCGCAGCGGCGCAGCCATACGCAGCACGCAGGGGCTGCAGTGGGGGCGGCGGCCTCTCACCGAGGACTTGCTCTTCATCTGAAGCGCCAGCAGCGCCAACTCCTCCCGTTGCAGATTCTGCAGCGCCTGCACCTCCACGCGCAGCTGCACACAGAACACAGCAGGCACAGCAGATCGGCATGGCGGGCAGAAGCATGCTCCACATAACAGCAGCGACCTGGTGGCAGGCTTGCCCGCAGGTTTGGCAGCAGGCCCAGCCGCGCACCTTGGCCAGGCGCTCCCGCTGCTTCTCCTGGGCCTGGCGGGCTCGCACGTTGGTGGCGACTGCCAGGGCGGTGGTGGTTGCCGCAGCCCCGCCCAGCAGCGGCACGACTATGGCCGAGGGGTCAGCGGCTGTGGCCTCCGCTGCCGCCGTTGCCGCCACCGCCTGCACCTTGGGATGCCAGGGATGACGAGCAGCACTCAATTCTGGATGGCCCATGTGGTGGGTGCGAGAGATGCAAGCGGACAGGCCTGCTGCCAGAATGCCACGGCCGTTGGAGAGGCGCCGGCGCCGGCAGGCATTCCTCCTGTGGCGACCCACCTGGTGTCCCGTTGCGACACAGCCAGCTGCCAGAATGCCTGCCGCCGCCCTCAGCAGAGGAGACGCCCTCTGGGGTGGCTCAGGAGGCTGCTGCTCCGCTGAACAGCCATCCTTGGTGGAGCGGACTGGAGCACCTCCCCGGCAGGCTGCGCGCCGGTTGTGAGGCCTAGTGGCCGCTGGCTGACGCACTGAAGCCCGCCCCGCGCTGCACACCCAGGCGCGCTGCTGCTGCAGCACCATGACTTCTGTGCCTGCTGGCTTGTTTGTGGATCAGTTGGGATATGCAACGCCTTTGCTGGTTGTGTAATTGGCCCGCAGCCTGCTGCAAAGGCTGGCCAGGCGGCAGCCCGGTGGCCATGTCTACCACTCTGAGAAAAGCTGGCGTAGAATCGCTGGTTTCGGAGCTGCGCGTCGTGCATTCGCGATGCCCTGGGATGCAGTGGATTGAGAAAGACACTAGCTTTGGGCCCTCTGAGTGAGAGCAGGCATCACATGTGTTGGCATGCGGAAGTTGGGACTGCCGAGCACAGAGGGAATTGCCTGCCACGCTTCAAGGCTGCACAGGGCAGGAAACATATGTCCCTGCAACAAAGCGCAGCAGATGATCAGATGCGGGTCGCTGGGGGTAGAGGCTGTCGGCGGTCGAGCGGTTGACCTCGCTGACTGCACAGAGCGCCCCGACTAACATGGCGTGCTCCACGACAATGGGCAGCTGGGGTGTGTCTGTGTCGAACATGGCCCCGGCGGATGAGAAAGCCGCCCTCTGACGGGATGCAAAGGGCGCTGAGCGCTGCCACCGCCCGCCACTGACGGCTGCGGTGCGCCCTCTCCCTCGCGACCAAACGATGGTCTGCTGGTATCTCCGACTGTCGCTGCAACTTGGCAAACACACTGTTTCGTATGCTGTGCTGTGCCATGCATGGCGCGACTTTGCGGAGGGCACGCATACTTGAGGCCAACGGCCCGCTGCATGCTGTGCATTTGGGCCCCAGTGCCGCTTGCAGCCGCGGAGCCATGCAGAGGAGCGCCCTGCAGATGACCCAGCCAGCTGCTGCGCCCCTCTCGGGCGCCGCAGTGCGACAAGCGCCCCGGCTGCAGAGCAGGCGCCTGCCCGGCCGGCCGGGCGTTGCCCGTGCGGCCAGCTCCGCCGACAGCCAGGAAACCGGCGAGCCCAACGGGGGCCTGAACACTACTTTTTCGGCCCTGGCAGCGGCCGGCGTGGCCGCAATGGCGGCCGGCGTAGTGCAGACGGGCGTGGTGCCTGCAGCTCTGCCGCCCCAGGTGCTGTCGACGGCGGCGCAGGTGGCGCAGGCCTCGGTACAGAATGCGGTGCCGCTGCTGGGCGGAACGGCCGTTGCCACCAGCGCAGCGGCCGTGGCGACCACGGCCAGCGCCAAGCGCGAGAGGGGGCAGCAGCGGGTGCGGCTGGAGCAGCTGAAGAAGGAGGTGGCGGCGCTGCAGGTGAGGTTCCGCGGGTGCTGCGAGGCGGGAGGGCTGCTGATGGATGCCCTTGCCGTATGCAGAGCACAGTCCTGCAGAGCACAGGCACACCGTGCAGGGCGGCTCTTCCTCAACAAGGGCGCCAGCACGCCTCTGCCCTGCCGCTCTCCTTGACCCGCAGGACCTCCAGCAGCAGGAGCTGGCGCTGCTGCAGCTGCAGATGAACGCCAAGGCGCAGGCAAGGCGGCAGCGGCCGCGTGCCTGACGGCTCCTACAGCGGCATGGCCATGCGGCACGACTGCCCTTCACCTGCCTTGCCCCTCACTTGCTCCTGCTGCTTGCCCCGAGCTGGCCCTTGGATGACCCATGCGCCACACCTGCCCTGCCCTGCCCTGCCTCTTGGTGTGCTGCAGGAGTTCATGTCTGCCTTCCAGGTGCTCCAGGACGACCTCAGCCGCGAGGCAGAGGGGCGGCTGGAAGTGGAGAGCCAGCTGGTGGCGGCGCAGCAAAAGGTGCGGGCGGGGCAAGGGCTGTTGGGGTGTTCTGTATGGTGTTTGGTCAGGTGCTGGTGGTTGGCTGGCGAAGAAGCGGGGTGACTGCATGGACCCATGAGCATCAATGTGCCGAGTGCACAGGGGCTGGTGTTGGAGCACCGAGGTAGCCGCTGTGTGTGTGCTGACGACGTGCCGCTGCCTGCCTCAGCACCTGCCTGCCTCCCGACCTGTCGCCGCAGGCGGCCAGCCTGGAGGCGCGGGTGGATGCGGAGGTCCGCGAGCGCCAGCGCCTGCAGCAGGCGGCCAACAGGATGGAGTCGGAGGTGTGTTTTGTGTGTAGTGGCGGTGTGGTGGTGTGGGGCTCACAACACGCCATCAGCTGCCGCGGCCCCATCGCCGCGGCCGGCCTCGCCTGCTGGCCGTCGATGCCTGGCCAGCCATTTTGCCCTACTCTCCGACACCCCTTTGGGTGCGCCCTGTGCGGATGTTCTGCACTGCGCGTTTGCACACACCGCCTGCTGTGCACATGCGTGCAGGCGGCGCTGAACCGGCGCGAGTACCTGCAGCTGGAGGACCAGGCCGCGGCGCTGCAGGCGCAGCTGCAGGCGGCACACCGCGAGGTGGCCGACGCCCACGCGCTGCTGGAGGCCACCAACAGCCGCAGCGAGGTGCTGGAGCAGGCGTGGAATGAGGCGCTGCAGGCCTCCAAGGTGAGGCCGGGGCTGGGCGAGGCCTGCGTGTGTTCTTCCTGCTTCTCTGTGTGGGGGAGTGTATGCTGTGGTCACTATGGTGGGGGACGTGCGGTCCACGGTAGCATGAAGAGAGGCTTTGGTGCTCGGCCGCATTGGATGCTGCTGCTTCATGCCCTCCTCCCTCCCGGGGCGCCCCTCTGCCTGCAGGACGCGCAGCTGGCGGCGGCCGACAGCCGCAGCCTGGAGCTGGCGCTGGCGCGGGCGCAGGAGGATGCCGCCTACCTCAACACGCAGCTGGAGCAGTCGCAGCACGAGGCGGCGGAGGCCAGCGCGGCGCTGGCGGCCGCGCGGGGCCGCACCGCGATGCTGGAGAAGGCGTATGCTCAGGCCAATGAGGTGCGGAACCAGCAGGAGCACGGCCGCCCTGGTGCCGTCCCTCGCGCGCTGCCGCTGCTGCTGCCACAGCTGGCCGCCCGTCGGCGGGCGTTGCCCTTGCGTTCTGCAACGCTGCGCACTTGCCGCGTCTGCTTGCTTGCTGCACAGCATCTGCGCAGTACACCGCAATCGCCTTGCCTGGCCTGCACCTCCACCCGGCCTACAGGAGGCCAGCCAGCTGCGCAGCGACAAGCGCAGCCTCGAGAGCGCCCTGACCCAGGCGCAGCAGGAGGCGCGGGCGCTGGCGGCGCAGCTGGAGGAGGCGCAGGCTCTCGGCACGCAGCTGGAGGAGGCGCAGCGGGGCACGGCTGATGCCTATGCTCTGCTGGACTCCCTGCGCAGCCGCACCGCGATGCTGGAGAAGTCTTATGCCGCTTCCATGATGGAGGCACAGGTGTGTGTGGTGAAGTGTGTGCAGGAGGCCAGGGGCGCTGGTCTGCTGCATGGTGGCCCACGGCCGTGCCCAGTGCAAAGCTGGAGCCACTCTTTGGTTTTCTGAATGCTCGCTCCTGGCCGCCTCGTCCACCTGCAGGACGCCGCCCAGCTGCGCAAGCAGCAGCGCAAGCTGGAGGCCGCGCTGAGCCGGGCGCAGGAGGAGGCGTCTGCGCTGTCTGCTGAGCTGAACGCGGCGCAGAAGGACGCGGCGGCGGCCAAGGCGCTGCTCAGCATGTCCCACGGCCGCAACGCTCTGGTTGAGAAGGCGTGGAAGACTGCGCAGGAGGATGCCATGTCGCTCCGGGGGCAGCAGCGCAGAATGCAAGCGGCGCTGAGCGCGGCGCAGAAGGAGGCGCGCGCGCTGGCTGCGGAGCTGGAGCGGGCGCGTGCTGTGGGCCAGCTGGAGGCGGCGTACGGCTCCTCCGCCGAGCACTCGGAGCTCGGCACGCTCCGCAGCCGTACCTCCATGCTGGAGAAGGCATACGCCAGTGCCACAGAGGTGGGCTTTGCTGCTGGGCGCACCACCTGCTGCCGTGCCGCTGCACTTGTTGGCTTCTGGCCGGCTGGCCTGACATGGAGGCTGTGCATCGCAGCTGCAGCAGCAGCTCTGTGCCTGCAGTTGCCAACAGCCGGCTGCTGTGATGCCTGCCCTCGCTATGCAGGAGGCCAAGGCGGAGCAGGCGAGGCGGGTGGAAGCTGAGCGGCAGCTGGAGTGGTCCAAGCGCGAGGTGCAGCACCTGACCTGGGAGCTGGAGGGGGCGCAGGTGCGCCCAGCACAAGCTGCCCTCCCGACCCTGCCTGCTGGGAAGGACAGGACGGCTACCTGCTGCATGCAGGCTGCGTCAGGCTGTGCTCTAGAAGTGCCAATTCAACATGTTTCCTGCGTGCTGCGCCGTGCTGCAGGCCTCCATCGCCACCAGCGCTGCCGGCGTGGAGACGATTGTGGCGCAGCTGCCCGAGGTGGTGGGGCGGTGGCAGGACGGCACGCCTCGCGAGCTGGCGCACCTGCGCAACTTCTAGCTCCCGTTCCTTTTTCTGCGTCCTGCCCCAGCAGCATTTGCTGGGCAGCCAGCAGCTTGCACCTTTCAGCACTGAGTATAGAGTGACAGGCAGAGTACTACAGCCGTTCAGATTAATACAGACCTCATCGGGTCGTCCCCCAGTTCATTGCTAGGCAGAATGTTTTCGTTTTTTTACTTGGCCTGAGAGTAGGCTGTTCCGTTGCCCATGTGCATATGTATGCCCGCTCCGTTGGAGAGCAGCTTGTATCGCGCTGAACGCTTTGCGCCGTTGTAAACTACCTGCTGCTTGCTGCACCTGTCGAGCTCCCACAAGAGGCAGATAGCTTGCTGCACGCGGTCCCTAAGGCTTGCTCATCTGTTGGGAGGGACATCGCCTCAGCCAGAGCTGCGCCCCTCTGGCCCTCCCAAGGCTAGGCATCAGGAAGATGAGCAGGCATGTCTCTCCTCCCCCTTGCATGTGCTGCCATGAGCATGCAATCTTTATTACAAGGCTGGGCCGGCAAATCGGGTACGTCACTGGTGCGCCTGGCCACGCTGCCGCCGCTCCAGCTCCTTGCACAGCCCGTGCAGCGACCGCACCTCGACTGTGCTGGCCTGGCTGCGCAGCAGCAGCGACCTTCAGCAGGGGAACAGGACGGCAGGCAGTGGGTCAGGACAGATGGCGGCGCTCCCTGCAGGCCTCAAAGGAACCACCAAGGCTAGCTGTTTTCTGCAGCAGAACAGGCCCCGGGCACCCCCTCACCTGACGTGCCCCATGAGCCGCTTCTTGCGCCCGTGGTTGCTCTTGTCGCCGCCCCCGATGCTCTCCTCGGCGCTGGGGCAGGATGGGGGGGGGGAATATCTTTCCGCTGCAGTCTCCTGGAACCAGACGTGCTTCTTCCTCTGCAAGGCGGCGCTCCGCCAAGTCGGAAGGATGCAAATCCAACCCCCACACACCTGATTCCGGCTGCTTCCAGCAGCGCCGCCACCCGCAGCAGGAGGGACTCCAGCTCGGCCTGGCTGGCCACCTGCAGCGCCTGCTGCCGCCGCCACCGCGTGCGCTCTGCACGAGGGGCGCAGCAACAGGCTGGCTGGGGTGCAACGCGACAATGCACCAATCGCTGCCTCAAACAGCAGGCGGAAGCGTCAGGAAGCTCACCGTCTTCAAACAGGCTGCCACCAGCTGCGAGTGCCTGGGCCACTGCCGAGGGTCCCAGCGCCGGCGCGCCAAAGGCCCCTGGAAGCTGCTGCTGCTCCTGCTGCTGCCGCTGCTCTTGCGCCTGCTCCGCCAGCAGCAGGCGCTGCTGCTGGATGTCAAACAGCTGAGCCAGCACCACCGCCACTGCATGGGACAGGTTCAGGCTGGGCTGGCTGCGCCCTGCAGGAAGGCAGACAACGACATGTCAACACCATGCCTCAATTTCAATGCTGCCTGGCCAGGCTTGGCCCATGACGACCAGACGGAGGAGGCCAGGAGCAGCAATCCATGAAGAGCTGGAGGCAGGTCACCCCAAGCAGGGCAAGCAGCATGGCAGCGAGTCAGGGTCCCACCTGTGGGTATGGAGCACGCGTGGCTGCACAGCAGCAGCTCGCTTTCTAGCAGCCCGCTCTCCTCTCGCCCAAACACCAGCGCCACGGGTCCGGCAGGAGCCGCCGCCCCCGCCGCGGCCGTGCCTGCCGTGCCACTGGCTGCCGGCTGCCCTGCTCCTGGTGGTGTTGCTGCTTGGCGTTCTCCCTGCTGCGCGGCTGCCTGCTGCTGAGGGTCGCCCAGCAGCGCTGGCACCGCTGCCGGGAAGCGGGCTAAGAGCTGGGGCAGGGAGGCGTGCACCACCCGCCCTGCTCCCGACCTCCGCGTGAACCCTATGCTCCCTGCAGCGCCAGCGCCAGGGCCGGGCAGATGGGGGCATCAAGCCAGCACGCGAACTGACCGGCAGACAGCCGGCGTGTGGCTGAGGCTGGCATGCAGCCCAAACATCTCGCCATCCAGGCAGCCCACACATGCCGCGCACCCGAGCAGTCTGCCAGCGCATCCGCCAGGGTGGGCACGAGCCGCATGCTGTGCATGACGTGGCTGTTGCAGGAGGTCACCTCCACCTCGCCGCAGCGCGCATCGCAGCGCGCGTCCACCACCACGACGTCGTGCGCCTGCTGGGGTGGGCAGCAGGCAAGACGTGCACAGCATGCATCAAAGCAGGTGCAGGGAAGGCTTCCCCCGAGGGGTGCCGAGCTGGTGGCACGGGAGGGAGGTGTAGGACGCAAGCAGGAGGCCTTATGCAGTGTATGATTAGGGTGCAGCACACCTCAAAGTTTTCGGCCGCCCGCAGCACGGCGCCGATGTTGGCGGGAGTCTTGGGGCTCACCTGGGAGCGGCGGCGGCGCAGCAGAAGAATGGGAGTAGGTGGGGTGGGGCCACAGGGGAAAGGCGTGGAGGCAAATGCGCATCGGGCTGCCAGCAATGGTGGCAGGTGGAGGCTCCCAGCCAACCTCCCAGCCATGCGGTTCCATCGTTGCACACCCGCCACCTCGGTGCCAACCAAACTCACCAGCACCACCCGCACTCCCGTGAGCAGCAGCGGCAGCTCGCTGCATAGCGGGGGCGACTCCGCCTGAGACGTCGCTCCCTGCATGGCCTGATGTGGCTGCTGCTGGGCGGCTCCAGCGTTCGCCCCGGCCGTGCGTGGCGGCGCCGCCACCGCCGCCAGTGGGCGCCGCCCCGCGCAGCTGCTCCAAGGCTGCTGCAACTGTGTCGTCCGCTGCATCGGTCTGCTGCCGCAGTGAGGCACGGACCTGCAGCCTGTTGGGCTGGCTGGGTGGGAGATGGCGGTCCCCATTTGCGGCAGCGTAGGTCTCTGAGCCGGGTGGCACAGCCGAGTGATGCAAATTACCCCACCAAAGCTTCTGGTATTCGCAGATTGGGCTGCAAGACAACCGACACTGCAGCCCAGACCACTCGGAGGACAACAGGAAGGCACACTTCAGTGCACCTTTTCCTGCTGTCTTTCCGATCTCAGCATTCCACACAACAGTGCCATCCATCTGCCCTTTGCCCGTGCGCTGCGTGTGGCATACCACCAAACGACTCCCCAGTGGCGGGCCCACTGCGGCGCTGTTTCTAGGTGCAGAAAGCATCTGTAGCTGTGCAGACCGCGAGCTGGGACATACTGAGTTGACCAGAGCGCAACGCGATCGATCGGCAGCTATAGCAGCGTGTGGCCTCCCTGCGGCCTCACGGGCGGGCTGCCAGAGCCCGTGGCATTAGTGGCGCCGAGGGAGTGCAGCCGGCGGCAGGGTGGGCAGGATGAACGCCGTCGCCAACCGCTGCGCTGACCGCCTGCCGGCCAACTGCAGCGTGTCGCGGCTGGCAGTGTTTGTAGGTGCGGCTCGCGGCAGGCCTTGTCAACGCTCGCATGCACCAGCCTCATGAACTAGTGAATCGGCTGCAGTACCTGTCATGCCTTGTGGGCTGTGGCAGCTTGTGCAGCTCGTTGCGCGACCCTGCTTCCTCGCTGCCCACCCCCCGCCGTGCCCTGCAGCCCTGGTCACCTGCATCGTGCTGGTGTCGCTGACGTTTGATGCCGACAGGATCGAGGGGCTGCTGGTGTGGGTGCAGGACAACAAGCGAGAGGGCAGCGTGCTGTTCCTGGTGCGCCGCCGACACGCCCCGCGTTCACTTCCGGCTGCCTGCAGTTGGCAAGCCGTGGGGTCTGCCTGCTGCTGTGCCGCACGCTGCAGCTGGGGTTGCTTGCATCACGTCCTCGGCCCTTGCCTCTCATCCCACCGTCCTTGCCCCCTGCCCCGACCCGCAGCTGGTGTACACGGTGGGGGTGGTGCTCATGTTCCCGGCCATGGTGATGGCGATGGCGGCGGGCGCCGTGTTTGGCATGCTGTGGGGCACGCTGCTCGTCTGGCTGGGCAGCAGCGTGGGCCAGACGCTGGCCTTCATCGTTGGAAGGTGTGCCGGGGCGGCCGGGAGTGCTGAATCCTGCGCGGCAGGAGGCCGGGCAGCCAAGGGCCGTGGCCGTGTCTTGTGTAGCGGCCGCTTACTTTCGTGCTCGTGCCGCGCGCTGCAGCTGAACCAACCTGCTGGCCTCCCTCCCTGCTGTACTGCCCCTTGTGTACCTCTGCTGTACTGCAGGTACCTGCTGCGTGAGCTGGTGGTGCAGTACCTCACCCGCCAGTTCCCCAAGTGGACCGCCATAGACAAGGCGCTGGAGAGCGAGGGGTGGAAGCTGGTCACCCTGCTGCGCCTCAGCCCCATCGCGCCCTGGAATGTCCTCAACTACGCGCTCAGCGTGACGGCGGTGCCGCTGGCGGCCTACGTGGCGGCGTCCACGCTGGCGGTGAGGCGGGCCGCCTGGCTGGCTGGGGTGGAGGGCAGGGGCCGGGCTGGCAGGCTGGTGGGGCAGATGGGCAGGCGCTGTCGCTTGACGAGCAGCAAGCTGATATTCCACGCTTGCTGGCCCTCCTTCACCTGTCGCGTCCCGCTCCAACACACGCCCTGCCGCGTGCCGCCAACTGCCGCCGCCGCAGATCCTGCCCTACCTGCTGCTGTTTGTCTACTTTGGCTCGCTGGCCCGCAACCTGGCCGACATCTTCACGGGGCGGGCGGGGCTGGGCACCAACACCACCATCGCTATGGCCGCCATCAGGTGCGACCCACAGTTGGGGCTGGCAGCTGGGGCTGGCGGCTGGCAGCTGGCATGGCGAGCGTGGCGATTATGGCGCAGTGCGGTGCACACTCACCCTTGTACCATGCATGCATGCACGCCGCCGCCACCGTGCCTGGTGGTTGTTGACGTCCTCGCCGTGCGTCACCTCCGTGCCGCGCCTGCCTGCGGCTGCCGTTCCCCCCTGCAGCGGCGTGCTGATGGTGGTGATTGTGGCCTACACCACCCACATCTCGCGCAAGGCCATCAGCAGCGCGCTGCTGACCAGCGGCGACGAGCAGACGGTGGAGATGGCGGCGGACCCGGATGTGGCGGAGCTGCTCAGGTGCGGCGGGCAGCGCTGCGGGTGCAGGGTTTTTTTAGTTGCGAGCCTGAGCGGCTGGCGCTGTGGGGGCAGAGGTCACGCTGCGGGGCCGGCCTGCCTGCCTGCCTGGTCAGCAGAGCATGCTTCTTCCGGGAGTGTTGGCAAGCCGACCGTCCGCGCTGCGGCGTGCCCCCGCCGCCCCGCTGCAGGGTGAACAGCGGCGACATGCAGGCGGCGGCGGAGCACATGGCGTCTCCCCTGGGGTCGGGCCGCACCAGCCTGCAGCACCACGCGTCCCCCTTCAGCGGCGGCGGCTCGCCGCGCACCGACGGCGTGGAGCTGTCGGCGGTGCTGGTGGGCGGCGGCGTCAAGCCGGGCAGCTCGCCGCCGCCGCTGAGCTTTGAGCAGCAGCACCTGCTGGCCAAGAAGAACACGCCCGCCACGGCGGCGGAGCGGGCGCTGCTACTGGACCGGCTGCAGCAGCAGGAAGCCGGGGGCGGCTCCTCGGCCGCAGGCGTCAGCAAGGTGCACCAGCGCGCCAGCGCAACAGGCGGCCCGCCCAGCGGCACCTCCCCGCTCGGCGGCCCGGCGGCGGCCAGGAACCGCCTCTCCAGCGTGTCTGCTGTCTGAGCTGGTTTGCCACCCTTGACGGCTCGCTCCTAGCTCAGCCTCTGCCCTTGACGGTGCACGCCTGCCCAGATTTTGTGCGTGCACCCCGCAGCCCCCAATTTTGTCCCACACACTTGAGCGTTGCCGCCTCTTTGAATCCAACCAAATTGCTGCCTATTCATTCCGACTTGATCTTGTTTGCCTGCCGTGACGCACATGGCGACACTGATTGTGTATCAACCGCACTGGCAGGGCAGGAGCAGGAGGGAGAGGAGGAGCAGGAGCGGGGACGGGGAAGCAGAGCAGAGGGGAGCATGGCAGACAAAACTGGTACGGGGATGGTACATGCGTGGGTAGCGCGGGGCAAGCTGCTGGCGGCGGTCCAGCGCTCATCATGCCAGCGCGCTCTGCGCCAGCGCCTGGTTCAGGTCGTCTCTGTCAATCTCCCCGTAGGCAGCTGCACACATGAACAGGATCGGCAGCCGAATGTCGGCAGGTTGGATTGATTGAGTTGACTGTCTGGACGTGGAGGCCAGACTGCGCTGCCGCTGCAGCACATAGCCGCCACCGGCGCCTCACCTGCGCACTGCACTTGCAGCCGCTCCTCATGCTCCTTGACCGCCACCGTGAATGCGGCGTACGTCTCGTCACTGGCGGCATCGGCAGGGATGCCCGCCCGGCGCTGAAGCTGCAGGTGGGGCGGTGCAGGCAGGTCAAACGGTGCAGCAGGTGGGGCCTCAAACCGCATGCATGGTATGTACATGTATGGTACTATGTACATGTATGGTACTATGTACATGTATGTGATGCAGCTGCTGTTGCCACCTTGCAGTGCAGCGAGGCGCTCGGCAGCCTGGCCTCACCTTGCGCAGCTGCTCGGTGTTGGCCACCAGCCCGTGTTTGACCGCATCCACCAGCTCCTGCTTGGCCTGTAGCACCTGCTGGCACTCCTCTTGCAGCGCCGGCAGCTCCCTGCAAAGGGAAAGGATAGCAAAAGATCAGTGAAGGCAAGGAAGGCAGTCGCACCGCCGCCGCCGCCGCCGCCGCCGCCACCGCCGCCGCCGCCGCACCTGCGCAGCTTGTTGAGGCGGGTGAGCACCGACAGCATGTTGATCTCGCCATTGCGGCATTTTCGGCTGAACTCCTCCTCCAGCCGGTTGGTGATGAACTCGAGCTCGGCTTGGGCCCTCTCCAAGCTGGCCACGAGCCCCTCTGCGGCCGCTGGGGTGAGCGCTGCCATTGCGTGTGCTTGCTGTCGGAGGAGCAGACGGGAAACAAAGGGGCTGGCGAGGGCTGCAGGGGGCTGCCCATTCAAGCCTTCAAGCGCAGCAGGCGAGCCATGCGAGCACCGAAAAAGCTGCAATGCAAGCCTCACGAGCATGATCATGCGTCCGGTGGCTGCTCGTGAAGGCAGCATGGCCTCCTAGTGCTGCGATCGGTCGGCAATGACCGCTCTGAATCCGGCGCTGAGCGACTTTGGCCAGCGGCAGGCCAACGAGAGGCAGCGGCTGCTTTCGCAGCTGGTGCAGCGGCTGGCAGGGGCGCAGGTGCGCGCGCCCGCCACCACCCGCCTCCCGCCACTGCTGCCTCCCGCCTCCAGCCCTGCACTGCCATACCGTTGGGCGCATCCTCCCTTGTCTTCACCTTACTTGCTGCAGCTGGGAGAAGAGCGGCATGGGGAGCTGCTGGAGGCGTGCCTGGCGGCGGTGCAGCACCAGCGGTTTGCAGACGCCAACCCTCGGCACGTCGCCGAGATGTATGAGCGGCTGGGGGAGCGGTTTGGCGAGAGCGCGCAGTTTGGCAAGCAGCGCGCTCTGCAGCTGCTGCAGAAGCAGCTGCTGGGACTGCAGCTGGACTCTTCGCAGGTAAGGAGGTCCCCTCGGCAGAGGTGCTGCCTGCCTGGGTGCTGCCAAGACAACACACACACACACACTCGACTCCTCCACATGCCAGTGAACTGACCACTCGCTTGTGGGTGCTACAAGCTGGGCGTTCCGGCTGACCTGCCCCACCTTGCCTGGCCCCCCTGCAGTACGACTTCCAGTACCGCCTGCTGTCCTTCCTGTACGCCGCCTCGCGGAACCCGCTGAGCGCCTCCTACGGCGGCAGCCCCCTGGTGGAGGCTTTGGAGCAGGCGGCGCGCACCGCTGTGGTGGGATCCCCCACCTACCTGACAGACGCGAGCAGCGACAGCTGGCAGGAGGAGCTGGCCGCCTACAGCCCCGGCAGCCGGCTGTCGGACTGGAGCCACCTGGATGCCGAGGAGCTCGAGGAGGAGCTGGCAGGGGAGCAGGCTGGACTGGCTGCCTTGCCCGGCAAGGCGGACGCCGGTGGCGACACAGGCGGCCCAGCGGCAGCGGCAGCAGCAGCAGCAGGGGCGCTCCTGCCGCAGGAGCGGGCACCGGGCAGCCCGGGCAGCCCTCCCTCGGCGGCAGCAGAGGCGCGGGCGCCTGCGCCGGGCGCGGGCGGGCGCCGGCTGGCGCCGCCGCCCTCGCCGGCGCGCCGCGAGTCGCCCTACACGCGGCACAGCCTGTCGGTGTGGATCGCCAGCAAGCAGAGCGGCGGGCAGCCGGCGCGGCTGCTGGAGCCGCGCCTGTGCTTCCACGAGAAGGAGCTTGCGCAGCAGGTGGGTGGGCGGGTGTTTTCTTTGGTCTCTTTTGGGAAGAGCGGTCAGGTGGTGGTGGACGGCTGGGTAGGGTTGGGCCCGCCCGATCGCCTCTCCTCCCCACGCCGCAGGTGGTTCACATGCTCAAGGGCGTGAGCAACCCCGGGCCCGCTTTCCAGCTGGATGCGTTGGGTGGCGGCGCATACACGCCCCGCCCTGGCGTGCACCTGCACAGCAGCAGCCAGGGCAGCGCGCGCGCGCTGCTGCAGCGTTTTGCTCGGGCCGGCACGGCGCTGCGCCGCGTGCAGTCCTTTTGCGCGGCGGTGCAGCAGGCGGGCGGCTCGCCAGGCTCTGCCTGGGCCAGCGGCAGCAGCGACGATGCAGCCGAGGCGCAGCGGCAGCTGCTGGCGCTGCCCACCGTGGCAGCCTTTGCCGCCGCGGTGGCGCAGCAGCAGCAGTGCCTGCAGCAGCAGCTGCTGGTGATTGAGGCCGCGCTGGCCAGCGGCGCGGCGCTCACGCTGCTGCAGCTGCAGCAGCGCACCGCCAGCATGGCGCAGCAGGCGGCCGTGCTGGAGCGCCTGGCGGCGCGGTGCTGCCGGCGACGGGCCAGCGCCGCCGAGACGGCGGCGGGGCTGCTGTCGGGGCTGCACGAGGCGCTGCAGGTGGAGCTGCTGCAGGCGCGGTCGCAAGGTGAGCTGCACAGCGGCGCTGCCGGAGCCGCCTGCTGGCATCGCCTTCTGCTACGTTTCTCGTTTTTCACTTGTTTCCCATGCCTGTGGCTCCTGACCTTCCCTCCCTCTCAATTTGCTCTGCTGTGTGTGCCCGTGCGCACCGCCTGCAGGCGGCGTCCTGGCTTCCATACTGCTCCGCATCTTCACCGCCGCCTGCCGCCCGCTGCTGGCCACGCTGCACGGCTGGCTGTACCGCGGCGTGCTGCACGACCCCTGGGCCGAATTCTTTGTGCGGGCCAGCGGTGAGGGGGCGAGGCACGCGCCAGGGCCGGCAAATGCCTGCGCTTGCACCTCTTGCCGCTGCCACCTGCTGAATTGCTGAGCGGCGGGCTGCTGCGCTGCCCGACCGATGCGTGCAGGCGCGGACATCCCCACAGACAGCCCTCGGTTTTGGTCTGAAGCCTACACGCTGCGCACGAGCAGCAGCGGCGGCGGTGCCGGCTGCGGCGTGACGGCGGCACCCTGCTTCCTGCTGCCCCTGGCGCCCAGCATCCTGGCCGCCGGCAAGGCCACCCTGCTCCTGCAGGCGTACAGCAGCTGGCGGCTAGCGGCGGCGGCGGCAGGCGCGGCGTGGCGCGAGGGCCCCGGCGGCAGCAGTACGGCGCTGCCGGCCGCGGCCGCTGCCGCTGCAGGCTTGGCAGAGTCCCCCAGCAAGCGGCGGCTGTCAGAGTATGGTGCCCTGGGCTTCGCCATCGCCGCTGGGCATCAGGAGGCGCAGCGGCAGCAGCCCTACGGCGTGCCGCCACCGGCGGCGCTGCAGCCGCGGGACGGCTTCGCACTTCTTGGCGAGGGCGCGCAGGACGAGCCTCTGCAGGAGCCGCCGCAGCTGCACCAGCAGCTGCTGCGAAACCTGGAAGCGCAGCTGCAGCAGCACATGGAGTTGGGAAGCGACATGCAGACGCGGCAAGCGCAGAGCCAGCACCAGCGCCAGCTGTTCAGCCAGGCAGGCAAAGCAGTCTCGGCAGGGGCGGGGGTCGAGGCTGGTGCTGACGACGCTGGCAGCAGCCAGAGCAGCGACAGCCACACGTGCTTGCAGGAGTGGCAGCCATCGGCCGCCGGCCTTGACCATTCCATGCTGCTGCCTGATGCCGACACTCTGCCAGCGCTGGTAGTGCTGCCTGCTTCGCCCGAGGGCCTGCCCGCAGCCCAAGAGGCTGTCATTCAGGCCGCGGCAGAGCCCTCGCCTGCCTCTGGAGCAGCGAACGGGGCGGAGCACGGACGGGCGCATGGCAGCAGCAGCAGCAGCCGCGGCAGGGGCAGCGTGCCGTCGATGGGGGACCGCATGCGGCAGGCAGCGGCGGCACGCGTGCGGCAGGCCACGTGCGCGGCGGCAGAGCAGCTGCCGCTGCTGCTCATCCCGCCGGCGCCGCTGGAAGCCATCTCAACCGCGGCTGCTGCCGCCGCGCGAGACGCCCGCAGCGGCGGCGCCTCGCCTGCCGATGCAGCTGCTGCGGCAGCTGAGCCGGAGGCCGTGGCGGCGGCAGCGACTTCGCAGTTTGAGAGCAGCAGCTGGCAGCAATACTACCAGCAAGTGTCGGCAGCGCTGGCGCAGCAACTGGATGTGCTGGACTGCCTCGGCGGCGGCGGCGGCGGCAGCGGCAGCCGGCAGCGGCAGCTGGCCAGCAGCTACGGCGTACCGCTGGGCCTGCCGGCGTACAGTGGCAACCCGTCAGAGCAGCTGTGGGGCCGCGACGGCGGCGCTTCAGCCCGCGCAGCCGCCGGTACCGGTACCGCCACCTCGCCAGCGGCGCCCGGCCTGCAGGTCTGGCAGCAACCGCTGCAGCCGCAGCTGGCGGCAGAGGCGCCGCCGCTGCAGGTGCTGCTGCAGCACAGCCTGCTGCAGCCGGTGCAGGCGCAGGTGGAGGCGGCCAGCAGCTCGCTGTGCTCCTCGCTGCTACGACACGGCCTGCTGCGCCAGGTGGGCTGATTGCAGTGCTGATTGCTGATGGATGAATCAGTGGGATGCTTGGGCCAGGCAGGGACCTGCGGCCCTGCGCCTGCCGCCCAGCAGCGCCCCGCCGAGCCTCCCCAGCTTGCTTGCAAGCAGGGACGAGTGCTTGGCGGGGCATGTGCAGGTGGCTTGACGTTTCGGGCCCCCCCATCCTCTTCCCTTGTGTGCGGTTCGCCTGCAGCTGGCCGCCCTGCGGGACACCTACCTCCTCGGCTCGCCCCTGCTGGAGCCCTTTGTCAGCTTCCTGCTGCGCCGCATCAGGTGGGTGGTTGGGTGGGCGGGTCACCGCCGGGGGCGGGTGGCAGCGGGGATGTCGGTGTGTGGTCGGCGGACCGGGGCGTGGTCATGATATGCGGGGCTCGGGAGCATGCGTACCACCACACCACCACACCAGCGGCACCCAACTGACAGAACTCCAACAACAACACATGCATCACCCCAGCACCTTGCCCCTCCCTCCCCCTTGCAGCACCACGGGCGGCGGCATGGACCGGGTGTCCGAGTTTGAGCTGAACGCGTCACTGCAGGATGCTTTGGTGGCTGGTGGCAAGGCCCACCTCCGCGCCTCTGCCCAGATCCTGCCCGCCGCCGCTGCGCCCGGTGCCGGCCCCGGAGCGGCGCGCGGCGGCGGGGCTGCCGCGGCCGCGGCGGCAGGCGTGGTGCCGCGGGTGCAGCAGCTGGCGCGGCTGCGGCTACGGGTGGAGCCAGGGTGGCCGCTGTCGCTGGTGGTGGGGGAGGAAATGCTGGAGCAGTACAATGCGGTACTGGTACTGCTGCTGCAGGTGGGTGTCTGGTTTGCGGGTGGCAGGGTGCTTCCGCTTGCTTGCTGAAGTGGGGTGCGCCTACGTCCTAAAGGTTTCTAAGATCAAAGCTTCGGGAAAGACGATCATCATGCCACTGCCACTGTCCTGCAGCTGCGCTGGGTGAAGCAGTCGCTGCAGGCGGTGCGGTACACGGGGTGGAAGGCGGGGCGGCGCGGCACCCAGTGCGCCGCCGCCCGCGACGGCCTGCAGCATCAGGTGCGCGGTTCAGCGCTGCCTTGCTCTCCTCCTGCCTCTCCTGTCCTTGGCCTTGTTCCTGCCTTCAGCAGGGCCGGTCGCTCGCTGCTCTCGTTGGCCTGCTGCCTGTCTGTACCAGCTTGAAAGACTGTACCGCCACTGTACCGCATGTACTGCAGATGGTACACCTGGTGGATGCGGTGCTGCAGTACACCACAGACCGCGTGGTTGCGGCGGGCGCCTGGCTGGAGCAGGCACGCAGCGGCCGGGGGCATGCCGCACCATGGCTTATGGCAGCACCACAGTGTGCTTCCCGCCAAGCCTGAGCTGTCGTCGCCTGCTTCGAGCGCTCGCCAGCCGCAGAGCCGCTCTCCCGCCTGACCCTGCCGCCACTGCCGCTGCCGCTGCAGGCTGTGGAGGGCTGCACCTCCCTGGATCAGATGCACGCCTGCCGCAGCAAGTACCTGCGAGCGGTCACGCGGTACTGCCTGCTCAGGTGCGGCGGCAGCGCTTGCTGCTGGTGGACAGCCGGGCGGCCCTGTCCCCAGGCTGGAGCTTCTGCCAGGACGTGACCAGGAACCACTGTACAGCACAGCAGCTGCGGGGATGCTGAGACTCTCCTCCATCTCATGCTTTCCTCTTGCTTTGGTGTCCCTACTGCACCAGCCACCCATGCGACCCACCCACCCCAAGCCACCCCGCCTGCCATCCCTGGCTGCAGCTCCGAGGGCGTCACCCGGCTGGTGCACGAAGGCCTGCTTCACCTCCTCAATGCCTGCCTCCACTACTGCTCGCTGCGCCGGCAGGACGCGGCCGCCGCCGCCGCGCTGGCCGCCCTGGCCGAAGCCGGCGGTGAGGCGGCCGTGCTGCTTGCCGAGGGTCTGCACCCTGGGCAGCAGCAGCGGAGCAGCGCGGACGGCGACGATGAGGACGGCGGCGGCGGCGGCGAGGTTGCGGCGGCGGCCGCGGCGGCCGCGGGCCTGCCCTGGGCGGGTCGCCGCGCGGAGCTGCAGCGGCGGCGGGTGGACGCGGCGGAGCAGCTGGCGCGCCTGCGCCGCGAGTTTGCCAACCGCCAGCGCCTGCTGCTGCGCGTGCTGTCCACAAAGGCGGCGGAGGCGGGCAGCCACGCGGACGAGCTGCGCCAGCTGCTGGGCGCGCTGGACTACAACTGGCACTTCATGCACAGCATGACATAGCATGCACAGCATGACATAGCATGCACAGCATGGCTCAGCACGCACAGCATGCCTGGCAGCACCGCACGGCATGGCTTGGAGTGGCACGCACATATGCCGGGGTGCAGGGGCGCCGTGTAACCATCGCGCGGGCGAAGAGACGCATTGCATGCCAGCCATACAGCAATTGCAATTAACTTTAGAATAGAGCGAATACAGGTGGCTGGGGTCTGCCTTCGCCGTCCCTCTGTGCCATCCCCTGCCCCATGCTGCCCTGTCACGCCGCAGCCACCACCACCCTGAACACCTCCTCCACCCGGCTGTTGTCGCCGAGATCCGCCGCCGGCGCAGACTGCAGCACCACAAGCGCCTCTCTGTGTCCCCCTGCCTGCTCCTGCCCTTGCTGCCCGTACGCTGCCGGTGCCGCGTGCAGCGTCATCTTGATGGCGGCCGCGCTGCCGCCATCCAGCTCGAACGCAGCACTGGAGGGCGCGACCCGCACCACCGCCGGCGCCAGGCTGCGCACCACAAACCGGCGTGGCTCGGCGTGGGGGCTGTGGTACCGCACCTTCTTGCTGGCTGCCTGGCCCCGCCCGAGGCGAACCTCAAACGTCCTGCTGACGACGGTGCTGCTGGAATCAAGCTGCACCAGCAGCAGCTCACCGGGCCGCTGCGGCGGTGCCACCGACAGCAGAAGCTCGCGCCGGCCAATCTGCGCTGGCTCAAAGCACAGCTCCAGCCCGCCGCCGCAGCTCCCTGCCGACGCGACCGCCTGCAGCTCCCCGTCGACGCAGCCCCGCTGCCGGCAGGCCACCTGTGCATGGCTGTTCAGCCCGGCAAGCGCTGGGAGGTACACACTGGTAGAGGCCGCGCTGCCCACGTCAGCAGCCAGGCGGACCGCCGGCAACCCATGTAGAAACACCTCCCACACCTCTGCTGGGCAGCCCCAGCCGCTGCTGCCGGCGCCGCCGCTGATGCTGCCGCCGCCGCTGCTGCTGCCGCTGCTGCTCCCTGCAGCACCAGCATGGATCCCCAGCAGGAAGCGGCGGACAGTGCCTCGCGCAGGTGCCGGGCAGGACAGCAGCAGGCGCCCCTGCTGCACCATCGTGGAGATGTCAGGGCTGCTGGCCACACAGGCCAGGGCGCCGCCGCCCAGCAGCCTGCCTGCACCCGGCAAGCTGGCCAGCTCCACGGCGTGCACCGCTGGCGCTGCCGGTGCACTGCCTGCTGCCGGGCAGTACAGTCGCAGCGTGCGATCGACCGCCGGCGCCGCGGGCAGCACGGCCGCCACTCGGTAGGTGGCTGCAAGCTCCGGCGCTGCTGCCCCGGCTACAACCGCTGCTGCTGTATGTATGCTGGGGGAGGATGCTGGGGGGCTGGAGCCCCAGCGCCGGATGCCGATGGCATGCCACTGTACCGTGCCGCCTCCCGGAAGCTCTTCCCGCCGCTGCCGCTCGTTTCTGTCTGCCTCAAAGAGCAGGCCGTTGCAGAGCTTGAAGCGCAGCAGGCAAGCCTCATTCGCAGCCAGCTTGAAGCAGGCCCCGGTGATGACCCGGAGGCTGCAGCCGTGCTGTGCCTGCTGGGCTGCCAGGCCTGCCAGCGTGGCTGCCGGTGCCAGCGCCCTCCACTCTGCCTCATCTGCCACCAGGCTGAGCGCAGGCACCTGCCTGCTGCTGCTGCTGCTACTGCCTTCTGCAGCCTGGTTGTTGCCGGGCCCAACCGACAGCTCAAACCAGGCCTCCTGGCTGCCGCTGTTCACAAACACGCCCTCAAACGCGGCAACCTCCCGGGGACCAGCGCACAGCACCTGCAGCAGGGGCGGTGCCTGCCGGCATTCAGCAACCACAGCAGAGGCAGCAGTGCAGTGGGTCACGGGCATGGGCCCGGCCATGCAGCAATGCGAGCTGGGCCCTGCCAGCAAAGCCGCTCACCGCGGAAACAGGGAGCGGCGAGTGATGGGGCAAAGCCGGCCGGGTGCTGCATCTGTTGCCAGCCTCAGCCGCGCTCCCCAAGCCACCACCCAGGTCCAAGCGACGCCCCTGGCAGGAGAGCCGCAGCAGGAAGCTGCCCTGCAGCGCTGCCGAGCACAGTCGCACGCTGCCTGCTGCTCCATCCTGCCATGCAACAGCCTCCTCCTGGTCCTGCACTCGCACCCGCAGCACCGCCTCTGCTGCCGGCTGGCCCCGCCGCAGCAGGTGGTGCAGCGGCATGCTGAGCGTGCCAACCTGCAAGCACATGGAAGGATGGCGGCGGGCTGTCAGCAACTGCCAGAGCCTGAATCGCAATGACTAGCACCGCGCAGGCTGGTGGGTGCAGGGTCTGCTGCATTGTTTGCGTCTACGGCTTGGCAAGCAACCGACCCACCTGAAGTAGGCTGCTGCTGTCCCACACATCAATCTGCAGCTGCCTCTCAGCCAGGTAGTGCACAGCACGCAGGCGCTGCTGCTGCACAAGGCTGGCGGCGGCTTCCGGCGGCATGCCCTGGTCTGCCAGCTCCGCCAGCTGCCGCTGCAGTGCACCCGCATCCAGCAGCCGCAGAGGCAGCGCTGGCGCTGGTCCCTGGGCGCGGCTGCTGCTGGCAACGTGCTCGGGCAGCAGAGCAAGGAGCTGTGTGCCTTCTTGCTCAGCGCTGCAAGCCACGGGCTCCAGGCGCAAGGCTGCCGTCACGGTGGGCTGCCCATCGAAGAACCGATATGTGAAATGCATGCTGCCGGGCAGCTGGGCTCCTGCGGCCGCACCAGAAACCGCTGACGACTCAAAAGCCAGCAGCTGTAAGCTGGCCTCGGCACTGAGGAGCTCATCCGCCAGTTCGGAGCTCAGCACCTCACTTAGCTGGAGCCCTGTAAGCTCCGGCAGATTGCTCTCCGCCGCCGTGGCCTCTGCAGCCGCTGCGACCGCGGCCTGCGCTGCGCTGGCCCCCTCGGCAAATGCCACTGCCGCGCCCCGCCGCCTGGCCAGCTTGGCTGTGGGGCTGCCACTGTACAGCGCAGCCACCTCCTCCTTGCTGCGCTGCGCCGGCGCCTGTTGGGCCTGCTGCGGACGGCTGTGCAGACTGGGCTCCTGTGGATGCTGGTGCTTGTTTTCCTTCTGCACTGCTGCAGCATCGCATCGTGCCTGGATCTGCCAGGTTTGTACCGTCTCTTGGACAGCCAGAGGCCGACCCAGCTTGGCAGCAACTGCTGTAGCAGTGGCCTTGTGCAAGCCTGGCCCCACGCTGAGCAGCGTCTCAGCCTCCGATGCAGCCGTGGACATCTGCTGTCGCTGCCGCTCCTCGGCCTTCCGCGCAGCCGCCACGGCAGCCGCCGCTGGCCTGGCCGGAGGAGGCGCCAGGCTGCCCAGGGGACTAGCCGGCTGCCGCGGCTGCCGCAGCTGCACAGGGGCTGGCGGAGGCGGCCACACTGCCTGCCCAGGGGCATTATACAGCACCAAACTGATGGTAGGCGCCGCCGGGCTGCTCCTGTTGGTGCACTCGATCAGGCGCCGCCAGTCCAGCACTGGGCTGTGCCTCAGCCAGCGCCCAGGCCCACTGCGTAGCGCCAGCTGCAGGGAGGAGCAGGGATGCGGCTTGGATTGCAGCCCCAGCAGACACCTCAAAGGAGCGGCTTAGCGGCTTACTAACATCGGGAGAAAGCTGTTATCCGCATGTGCGCTCAACTGCGCAGTACCGCTGGCGCCCACCTGATGCGGTCCTTCAGCTACAGCCAGCTGGCTCCCACCGCTGCCGCCGAGGCAGCTGAAGGGCATCACAGCCGCCCACCCCAGCACCACTTCCCTGCTCAGGCCGTCGCCCTCCCCGCTGCTGCTGGTGGTGCTGTCGCTGGGGGCGCGGGCTGGTGGGTGCCGGCTGGGCTGCTGCAGCACCAGCTCCAGAACCACTGCCACAAAGCGGTCGGCAGGCAGCCAGGCCAGCGGAGCGTCCTGCCCCAGCACCAGGCAATGCTGCCCCCTGCACCCCTCCACCTGTTCCAGCGCCGCTGCGGTACACAGCACCGCAGGCCCCACAAACCGCCGCCCATTGTGCGCCGACACGCGCAGCAGCAGGCTGTGCTGCAGCTCTGCCAGAGGCAGCAGCAGCTTGTTGCCGGCTCCCGTGCCCCCTGCCGCGCCTCCGCTGCAGCCTGCAAGGGGCGGCGCGCCGTGCGCCTGGCGCCACAGCCCGGCCGCCTGCTTGCGCACGACGTCCAAGAAGCCGTCGGGAAGGTGCACGCTGAGCCCGGTCAGCACCACAGCGTGCACGTCGTGCAGGCAAGGCGGCGCCATCTGGCTGACGATGCCCAGCACACCCAGCGTGGCCTCCCCGCCGCCGCTGCCGCCGCTGCCGCCAGGGCTGCCATGCGCCGCGCCGCTGGCGAGCCTGCGCCGCTGCAGGCCGGGCACCACGTCCCGGCTGGACAGCAGGAAGTTGTCAGGCGCCAGCGGAGCCCAGGCGGCCGCCTCGGGGCACGCCTCAAACTGCAGGCAGGCAGGCAGGCAGGCACACAGACAGGCAGGCAGGCGGGTAAGGTTGGGAGGGCTGCATGTCGTGCGTGTGGGCGACACAAGAGACGAGCCCTGCAGGCTGGCTGGCCATGTCGCAAGCTCCGCCGCGTGCCTGGTAGTGTAGGCGGCACTCGGCTCCATCGGCCAGCAGCTGCGCTGGCGGCAGACGCTGCTCCGGCGGCAGCAGCGCGTGCAGCAGCAGGTATCGGGGGCTGCCCGCGAAGACCGGCACGCACAGCTGGCCGCCGGCGCCCAGCTGGACAGCCATGATGCCGCGTCGCAGCGGCGCGCCATTTCCGGCTGCCTGCGGCGGTACAGGGTCCGTCTGTGCCTGGCCCGGCAGCAGGCAGCAAAAGGCGCTCGTGCCAGCTGGCCCCGCCACCTTAGCTGGCGAGGCGAGGCCAGAGGCCGCTGCTCGCTGCGCTGCCGAAGGCCTGTCGCAGCAGGCGGCGCCGCCCGCCGCCAGAGCAGCAGCTGAGGGGAGCTGCAGAGGTACTGCACACCACCCCGCAGAGTACTCGCCGCATGCCACGCCGGCAGGGCCGCTGCGATCCACCAGCACCACCTCCACCACCGCCAGCAGCCCGCTGCCGCAGGCCAAGGCGCTGCCGCCGCCGTCGGCACTGGTTATGTCGGCGGCAGCAGAGCCGGTGATGGCGGCGCGTGTGTGCAGGTAGAGGGAGCTGCTGAGGTCGATATGGAATCCCCGCCGCCTGCAGGCACAGGCCGGCAGGGGCCGAGGTGAAGATTTGGGTGCTGGGCAAGCAGCAAACCAAGGCCCCGCCCTGTCGAAAGCAAAGTTCCCCAGCTGCCTTGCTTTCTAGGCCTGCAAATTCGAACGTAAACTTTAAAACAGCACAGGCGGCGTGGTTGCAGCACCCACCCCTTGCTGCGCCGCATGTCGTATTCCACCGCTGCGCTGTGGGCTGTGGGCCCGAAGAAGCAGCCTGCGGCCTCGTCGAAGAGATTCACCCCCACCCGCACATCAAAGGTGCGGTCGTCGGCTTGGAACAGCGGCATGCTTTCCAGAAAGGACAGCGTGAGGCGGTAGCCCGCTGCGGCGCTGTGCTGCTGGAGGGAGGCGGGTGCCGGGTGCGGCGCCGCGCGCGCCGCCTGCCGCAGCGCAAACCCCAGCCACTGCTGCTCCATGAGGCTCGGCGGCGGTGGCGGAGCTGCAGGGCAGGAGTTGGGGGCTGGGTGGGTGGTGGTGCTGGGGCGCCAGTGCGGCGGCGGGGGCGTGCTCCAGTCAGGGTGGCGCACCTGCAGCCTCGGAACGGGTGCACCCCTGGTCCATTTCTTGCTGGAAAACGCTGGGCTGTGCGCGAGACGCGGGGTTCGTCGCGACGACCGTTTCGTTGCTGCTCACTCCCGAGTACGGGCGGAGTGGCGCCCTGGCACAGCATACATGTGGCAATTGGAAAACGAAGCGGCAGGGAGGTCTCGCCTCGCAGAATGGCGCGGGCAATACAAGCGGCGCCCCGGTGGCGCCCAACTGGCGGGCGCCGGCGCCGCATCCATCCCCATTCTGCCTAGCACCCCTCTCTGCGGTGTCCCCCCCTGGTTTCCCTCGGGTTCCCCTTTCCCGAATTCTCGTCTCTAATGAAATGAATTGCACATAGTTGGCTCGCCCAACTTTTCGGCATTCACCACTCAAACTGTCCCACTCCGTCGGGCGCGTTAAAGTCGACGTGTATCCGGTCGTCCTTCAGCTCGTGCTCGCCCGCCACCTCAGACACGATCACGCCATCTATGCGCACCTTGTGCTCCCCCGACCGCGTGTCCTCCAGGGTGCGCGCCTCGATGACGCACTTCTCTGCAGGCGAACAAATATGCAGCAGGCCCCGCGGCGGGGTGGCGGAGGTGGACGGCAACACGGAAGGCAGGCAGGCAGGCAGGCAGGCTGGCTGGCTGGCTTGCAGGCACAGGCTGGCTGGCCAATTGAGTTGCCAAGCCACACGACGGATGCGGCAGCAGAAAGTTGAAGCTAAGCGCTGCCGGCCGTGGCGGGCTCCCTGCACGGCCCCAGCATCCCAACCTGCGCGCGTCACGGGCCAGGCGGTGTGATACACCTGCGAGAACTTGCCCTCGTGCAGGCCGTCTATGTTGAGCGGCTGGCAGTCGCAGCCCGCCACGCATCGGAACTCCACTATTCCCATGTGCTCATAGCTGCGCAGGTGCAACACGCCCACGTGCGTGGCGACGCCCTCCTCCATGGCCCCAGATTGCTGCAACGGCGGGGCGGGGGGGCAGGGCGACGCGGCAGTTCTCTGAGCGGCTCCCAAAGCACACGAGCGACGACGGCAGCGGCAGCGGCAGCCCGTCGGCGATGCAGAATGCAGTTCTGCGCAGGGGTCGGCAGAGCCAGCGCGAAACCAAGCGCCACATCAGCGCCACATCAGCCGCCAGCTTACCACGGCCCTGGCCGTGGCTGTGTTGATCTCGAACCGCAGCGTGGAGTTGGGCGTGGTGCCCACCCTGCAGGCCAGGCAGGCAGGGACGGGCCGCTCATTCAGGCTGCTGCATGAGCAAACGGCCGCTAGGCTGGCCTGGCTGGCGGGTGGGCTGGCAGCTACACCTGCGCAGAGCGGCAGCTACCCCTGCTGCAGCGCCCGCCTCACCAGCCCCACTTGGGCTTCTCCTTCGTCCCGTCGTTCATCCACTTGAACCCGCGGCTGGCCACCACATGTTCGCCAAACAGCTTGCCCACCAGGCACGAGTTGTTTATGTTTGGCCAGTTGTTCTGCAGGGCGCCAGCAGGGGTCGCCGTGAGCGCGGCGCGCCGCCAGCGCTGCGCAGCACCGGCGCGGCACGCACTGCCAGGGCTCAGGCCGCCAGCAGCCAGGCACCAGCCGAGGCGTCCGCCCCGGCCGCAGCAGGAGGATCGGATGAATCGCAGCAGTGTTACCGTAGCCGCCACAGCAGCCAGGCTCACCCGCAGCATGGGCGGCGGTAGGGGCGCCTGGCTCGCCTCCTCGTCTGTGTCGCTGAAGGGCCGGAGCGACAGATCCTCCAGCACCCGCCGCATGTACAGGATCACCATCTCAGCCAGATACCTGCGGTACCATCAGGGTGCCGCCAGGTTGGCAGCTGCACGTTTCAGGAGGGTGAGCCGGCGGCGAGCTGGCGCCCTTTTCGAGGCGTGGTTGCGAGGAGCAACGCATTGGACACATGGACACACTGGCCCGAGGCGGCAGGGCAGCAATACCAGCGACTGGCGGTGGGGCGCCAGAGCAGTGACGGCTGGCGCCGGGCCCCCACCTGTGTCCAACATCGTTGGGGTGGTTCCTGCGGGATGCAAGCGTTGCAGGGCAGGGACAACCAGATCAGGCGGTGCAGTGTTGGACATTGGACCAGCTGCCTGCCATCATGCCATCAGGTAAGGTGGTCGGCAGCAGCGGGCATGCTGCCTGGCGCAGCCTGCCAGCCCTGGATCCAGCACGAAGCGGCGCGGCGGGCGCAGCGGCGGCACCAGCGAGGCGCCCACCTGTCGTGGTGGAAGTAGGGCCAGGGCGCCTCTGCTGTGTAGTTGGGGCTGCCCTTGGCATACACCGCATCCCACAGCAGCGAGCGGTCGGAGACAAAGGGGAGGTGGTAATACTGCACACAGACAGAAGAGAAGTGGGCAAACAGCAGAGGGAGAAGCGGGGCAACCAGCAGAGACAAGGCGCAAGCAGCAGGGCAGGGCACGGCTGCCCAGGCAGGCAGGCGGGCGGGCAGGCAGCACACCTGCGAAAGCACCCCCAGCTCATCGTCACCACCCATCCGGTAGGGTATCTCTGCGCTCCTGCAGCAGGCGGGAGCGGGCGGCCAGAGGCCCAAGCCAGCGCGGCCTGATGACGCTGGCTACCTCTTTGCGTGCTGGCATGAGCAGAGAAAGGCGTGCCCAGCAAACCACCCCGCCCGTGTGTGGCAGCACGCCAGGGAGACTCCCAGGGGTGTTGCGGCCGCAGCGGGAGCGCCGCCCGGGTGCCTCCGACCCAGCAAAGGCAAGGGCAGGGCCAGGCAAGGGCAGGGCCAGGCAAGGGCAGGGCCAGGCAAGGGCAGGGCAGGGCCCGCTCACTCCATCCAGTCCAGGGCCCAGTAGCAGAAGATGACCTCCAGCAGCGGCGGCCGCCGGTCGTGCACCAGCAGCTTGCGGATGAGCCGCTCGTGCGCCCTCCGGATCGGCATGTCTCCCTTGTCGGGTCCGTCATTGGGGTTGAACTCCATCTGTGTCACACGCGCAGAGGGCAGCAGGCAGGGCCACGGGGGGGTGAGGGGATTAGAGCGGCAGCTGCAGCTGGAGGGAAGCATGCCGCAGGCGGGACCGGCCGGCCTCTCACCAGGACCAGGTCAGCATCAGGGGGCACGTGCCACTGGAGGCAGAGCGTGAAGTAATTGGAGGGCGTGGCTGCAGGGGGGGCGACAGGGGGCAGGTGGGTTGGGGCGCAGCCTGACTGCGCTTCATGCCTGCAGCAGCAGCCACCTGCAGGCATGCCTTCTGGCCTCGGGCCCCACCAGAAATGGCTTGGTTGAGGAACTTGTGCTGGGGGTGGGGGAAGGTGGCATTCATCCACTGGAAGACCAGGGCAGGCAGGTCGGTCTGGCCGCGGACGCTGGCGCCGTGCCCCCACGACACGCTGCCGCCAATGGACACTGCGCAAGCAGGCGGGCGCAGGGAGGGGGAGTGTACAGGCATGGGGTTGGCGGGCGGCTGAGCCAGCTGGTATGCTAAGACTTCAGGCAGCCCAGGGGAGCAGCGGTTCCCAGAGCCGGCGGCCTGCCTGGCCCCAACAGCAGCAGCCGCGGCGGCCCAGTCCCGCTCACCCACGGTGACGGCCTGGCCGGACAGCAGCTTTGTGAAGAAGCGGCGCATGCGGGACATGTCGCCGTAAGACACCAATCCCTTCAGAAGCTCGTGCTCCGGCAGTGAGGGCTCCCAGGGCGATGCCCGGAGCACCGCCAGCGGGTCGGGCAGCGAGGGCGCCTTGCCACCCTTGCCCCCGCCTGTGCCTGCCGTGGCTTGGGTGCTGCCGGTAGCCGCGGCTGCGTCTGGCGCTGGGCAGGGCTGCTGCTCTGGACATGGCTCGGGCTGCTGCGGCTCCGGGCATGCCGGGCACTCTGCGCACTGCTTGCAGGCAACAGCTGCTGGGCATGCTGGTGGGTCGGGGAGCGCCGCCGCCGCCGCCGCCGCCGCCGCCCCGCCTTTTCCGACACCTAAGGGCTGGTGCGTGCAGTTGCATGAGTTGCTGAGCCTGTAATGCGCCAGCCGCGAGCTGAGCCTCACCGACTTGCCCGCCGGGTGCAGCTCGGTGACCGCTATTGCGGCAAGGGTGGCGATTAACACGAGGCTGATGGTCACGGTGAATCCCAGCCTGCTCGTGCGCTCAGAACTCAGCTTCCAGCCTCCCTCAGCGCCGTTCGCACCGTTGTTCACCGCAAAATTGGCCATGACGGGCCACTGCCCCACCGGGCACTCTCAGCCACTCCCCAGAGTCAGATATACAGTGGATGGAACGCTGGGTGGGGCCAAGACAGGCGAATGAAAGCCGCCGGGGGCAGATGCGTCAGCCAAAGTAGCGGCACCGGGCGGGGCCACCAAGTGCCCTATCCCTGTCGCAGAGAATGCTGCATCTCATGCTCATTCGTGTGCATAGACAAGATGGGCTGGCTACTGCCTCCAGCAAAAAAGAGGTGCTCATAGTCCATGCCCCCACCCCAACCACCACAGGCAACCGCTTGTGCGCAGCAGCCAAGCTCGCAGCGACGGATCACCGCCTCTTTGCCCGCTGCCACTCTGCTTCACATCTAGGCATGTTACATTGCTGCAGCAGAATCGAGTGTCTGCCGCCAGGAGCAGCAGCACCAGCAGGTTTGCCGTTCTCAGCGGCTGGGGCGATCCAGGTCCACCAATTCAAGCTCAAACCACAGGCTCTTCCCAGCCTGCAATGCAGCGCAGGTGGAGTCCCACCGTGACCAGCATAAGCCGGCAAGTGGCACAATGGCTGGTCAGGAACGGGACCCTTGTGGCGAATACGCTGTCACACCGCCAGCCGGCCAGGCAAGCAGGCCTCTCCTGCTCCAACATGCATGCATTGGTCCAGCCCAGCACCCAGCAAGCTCACCAGCATGTTGTTGCAGTCCAGCAGCACCTCCTCCTCATCCACCTTCACAATCAGTGCCATGGCATTGTTGGACAGCTGCACCAGGTTGCCCTCCTTCACGCCGCCCTGGCTGCAGCAGTGGCACAGCGCAGCGCAGGGCAGGCAGGCGGGAGGGCAGGCAAGTGAGGCCTCCTCCACAAGGAGACGCAACACAAAGTGCGATGTTGTGACAAGGCGCAAAAGGACGGAAGCGGGGCACAGACTTATCGTCAGATGGAGTCCGCACCACCGTTTCCGTGCATCCTCTCCTTGCGTGCATGAGGGCCAGCGGCATGCCGGCCCCAGCCCAGCGCTGGCAGCCCCCCCAGCAGCAGCGCCCTCACTTCTTGTAGCGCCCCTCCAGGCGCTCCACCTCTGGGTGCTCGCGCGGCACCTTGAACATCAGCTCATCCTTCCACTCCCCGCCCTCCGCCTGCGGCACGTGTTGGAAAGCGTCCAACGTGCGGCCATACACGGTGCAGCAAGGGAGAGGCCCCGATCCAATGCGGCTACTGGTTGGCGCCGCTGCCGCAGCTACCGAGCCTGCTCAAGGTGCCGGCTGGCGAGCTCACCTTGACACGGGTGGCACCGCCCACCGCCAGGCCCCGCACCGCCTCGTCAAAAGCCTGCAGGCTCAGCGCGGCAGGCACAGCACAGCAGGCACAGCACAGAGTGCACGTGGGCCAGGGGAACAGCAGCCTCTGCCGCAGCAGCAGCGCCAGCAGCAGCCGAAGCAGCAAGTCCAGCAGCAGCAGGCATTGGCTGCCCACCTCGAACAGTCGGTTGCCCACGATGTCGCCGGCCCCCACCTCAAAGGTGGTGGGCTCCTCGCTCTGCTCGCTGCTCTCCAGCAGCTGCACATGGGGGAGCGGGGGGAGGAGCGCGGAGTGGGTGGAAAAAATTGGAGGCGATGTCAACATGGAGGAGTGTAGGTTGGGCAGGGCAATTGCAACAGGGAAACAGGGCAGCAGCTGCTCGCCCAGGGCGCACAGCAGTGCTGCAGCAACAGTGTCGCTGCAGCTTGCTGGCAGCCGAGCTGACGACCCACCTCGCCCTCGTCATTGTAGCACTTCCAGCTGAGGGTCACGATGTCGCCCTCCACCGCCACCAGCGGTGCGCTGGCGGCCTCGGCGCCTGCACGGCGAGGGAGGACACTGGCGGCGGCGTTTGGAAGCGCCATGCGGGGAAGGTGGCAGGACTATCGCCAGCGAAGTTGCCTGGCAGGGCCAAAGCAGCCAGACATGGGCAACCATCGATGCAGCTCACCTTCGATGTTGGCGCCGGCTGCTGCCAGGCGCCGTGATGGGAGCCAGGTTCGTCTGCTGGCAGCGGCGCTGTCGCGGTGCCGCAGTTCCTGCCGCAGCCGCCGCTGGCCCGGCGCAGCGGGCTGAGCGGGGGCCGCCAATGCCGCAGCCGCCCGACATTGCCATGTCGCTGCTGGGTGGGTGCGCAGAAGGGGAGCTGCCCAACCGCTGCACGCCCAAGCCGCCCGAGATGGCATGTTGGCGACGGTCATGCCGCCACCTGCTGCCTTAAACTTGAGAATGGGGTGCCCAGAGTGCGATGCAGTGGCGGGATGGCGCGATGGCGGCTGCAATGGCGCTCGGTCCGGTTTCTTTTCGTGCATGGGCCTTGGCCGCTCTGCTCATTTTGGCCTGGTGATTACCTCACGGCTGCACTCCGATGGCCGCCACACATCCTGCACGCTCTCCTTTGCCCTAAACTCGCCGCTTGTGCAGTGTGTGCGCTGGTCAGCAGCAAGTGCCTGTGAGCAGCCTTCTGTGCTCACCAATAGCGCCATTCGCGCGATACACACACCTTCCTAGCCACATGGAGCTTGCGGGATGGCCCTGCACGCTCGACACCCCCTGCTGCAGCGCCGGGTGGTGTCGAGGAGCGCCACCGCCCAGCAGAACGGCGTGGCTGCAACCGCGGCGGCCAGCAGCAGCATTTGGGGGGCGCAGAAGACGAGCGGGCGGACGGGTGACGGCTGAGGCCGGCAGCAATGGCGTGAATGGCTTCCACAGGCAGCAGCCCGCCCCAGCCATCATAGACCACCTGCAGCAGGACATTGCAGGACCGGCGGAGCAGCCGGGGGTGTGGACCAAGTTTGTGGCGGAGACGCTGCTGCCGACCAAGCAGGGCAAATTCCGCCTGCGGGGCTACCGCCACACGGTGCGCTGCTGCTTTGATCACCCCTGCCGGCGCCGCATGCAGCCGGTCAGCAGGGTGTGCGCGGCCTGGGCAGGCGCGTGTCGGCAGCAGCCCCGCCCTGTGCGTGCCGCCGCCACCGCCCGGCCTTCCCATCCTGCCGCCCCCGTGCACCGCTTTCGCTGCCTTTACCGCACGTGCCGTGCCGCATGCACCTCCCCGACCTGCCCTGCCTTGCCTTCTGCCCAACAAGCAGGTGGATGGCGGGCTCACCTACACCGAGCCGTCTGTCATCATCGCCGGCCAGCCAGAGGGCCTGGCAGACGTGCCGGTGCGGGTACACGACGCCTGCTTCACATCCGAGGTGCGCCCCAGGCGCTGCTGGGAGGCGATCATGCGGCCCCCTACGGGCGCCACATCCAGCAGCGCAGCGCCCGATGCATTGGCCGAAGCAGCCGTGCTACGTGCCGCCCCGTCATCCTTCCCCGCCGCCGCGCCGCTGCGTGCCGCCCCGTCATCCTTCCCCGCCGCCGCGCTGCCACCTCAGCTGGCTCGTGCCGCCGCCGCTGTACCTTGCCCCTGGCATGCCCGCCGCCCCTCCCGCCTGCCCTCCCCGACCCGCCTCGCCCCCGCGCCGCCGCCGCCGCAGGTGCTGGGCTCGCTCAAGTGCGACTGCCGGGAGCAGCTGGAGCTGGCCATGGACTTCATCCGGGACCACCCGCCCGGCATGGTGGTGTACCTGCAGCAGGAGGGGCGCGGCATCGGGCTGGCCAACAAGATCGCGGCCTACGCGCTGCAGGAGAAGGGTCTGGACACGGTGGACGCCAACCGCGCGCTGGGCCTGCCCGACGACTGCCGCGAGTACAGCGCGGTGCGCAGCTGGGGGCAGCGGGGGTGGGGTGGTGGTGGTGCTGGTGGTGGTGATGGGGTGGTGGTGGTGGTGGTGGTGGGGCCGCAGTTTTGGTGCTGCAGGCTGCACGCGGCCCTGCGCGCTTGCGCTGCCTCGCGAGCCCTGCCGCATGCCGCCCGCGTGCCAGCGAGCGCGTGCATCTTTATCTCCCATCGGTCAACCCCCCACCCCTCTCCCACATCTTCTGCCATCCTCCCTCTCTCCCTCCCTCCCTCTCCTGCCCCCGCAGGTGCGCCACATCCTGGCCGACCTGCGCGTCTCCTCCATCCGCCTCATGACCAACAACCCGCGCAAGCTGGCGGAGCTGGCGGGGCTGGGCATCCCGTTGACGGGGCGCATCCCGTGCCAGGTGCAGGCGCAGAAGTACAACGCGGCGTACCTCTCCTCCAAGCACCGCCGCATGGACCACCTGCTCAACCCGGCCATGTACAGCAGCGGCGACGAGGAGGCCGAGGAGCCGGCGGGGCAGTTCTGCTACTGGGACCACGAGGTGTGTGGGGCGGGGCGGCCTGCTGGTCTGGGCGGCGGGGAAGGAGAGTGGGCGCGGGGCTGGGGCGGGGAGGACTGGCGAAGGAGGTGCGCAGGTTCTGGGCCAGCGCTCGGCATGCCAGGGGCCTTGCCCGCAGGGCAGAGGAGCGCGGCTTGGCTGCAGGGCAGCCAGGCGCAATGCGTGGCCTGCCTGGGCGCGTGCGCCTGATGCGGTGCCTTGCCCGTGTGCAGGGGTCTGCCGGCAGAGCAGCGCAGCGCGGGGAATCGAACTCTGTCTGCCCGGCTGGCTTTGCAGGGCGAGCCAAGCAGCGCGGGCATCCCATTGGAGGCCCCGGTGCCGCTCCCCGAGGGGCTGGAGGAGGCGGTCAGCAGCAGCAGCAGCAGCAGCGGCAGCATTAGCTTGTTGTCAGCAGGTGGCTCGCGCATCGGCGGCGATGGCACGGGCAGCGGCGGCTGCGGCAGTGGCGCCAGCGCAAGCAGCGTGGACGCCTGAGGCGGGCGTCGCCTGCGCAAGGCACGGCAGCCCGCTGCACATCTGCCTACGTGTTTGGTGCAGCTGGCACGAGCAGGGTGGCCCTGCCCTGACGCTTATTTTATTCTTTTCATCCCCAGTTGTACCTACCCTTGAATTCGGAGCTCTCACATGGGCGCCAGAGAAGATACTTTGTGAGTCAATTCCTCCCTGCTCCTTTCCACCAAACCAACCGTCCTCTGTGCACCTCCCTCTGCTCAGCTTTCTGTGCTCCTCCCGCTTCCCTCCCCTTTTCCCCCGGTTGCTTCCATTGTTTCCCTCTGGTGCATCCATCCCGCACTGATCAAGGTGCAACCTTCACAAACGCGACAAGCCACACCCAGGGAGCAGCCGGAAAGAATGGTGGCAGAGCAGGAGGGAACCAGTGAGGTATTGCGTTCAAGGGAAACAAAATGGGACAGGATAGGAAAATTGCATCAAATCGTGCAGTGCTGGAGAGAGAAAGGATGCATTCAAAGTGCACACCATTTGTGTGATGCGAGGGCGTGCTGCTACTCTGCCGCCGGCTGCTGCTGCCGCCGCTGCTGCCGCTGCTGCTGCCTGAGCGCGCGATGCTTCTCCTCCTCCTGCTGCACCAGCTGCTGGCGCAGCGCGCCCAGCTTCTCCCGCACGCTGCCGCGGCTGCTCGCCTTCTGCTTGGACACCACGGGCCGCTCGCCCAGCGAGGCGCGGAAGGCGCTGTTCTGCGCCGCCAGCCGCTCCTCCATCTCCTTCCTGCTCTGCTGCAGCAGCTGCAGCAGCATGCACGGGTGCATGGAGGAGCCGCCTCAGCCGCCTCATTCAGCCACGTGCCACCCAGGCGATCCGGCACCCGACAAGCCTGCCACCAGCGCATGCACCGCCGGCTGCCCGGCAGGCCAAGCACGCGCCCCACACCCGTCCCCAGCAGCAGCATACTCGAGCGGCCCATGCCGCAGGCAGGCGGCAGCCCACCTTGAGGAGCGCCAGGCAGGAGCAGGAGGAGACGGCCTGCTGGCCGGGCGCCTTGTAGCGAATGGCGCCAGGCCCCAGCTCAACAATCTCTAGATCATCAGACACGATGCACACCTGCAGAGTGCCAGCAGCGCAGCCACGGTTCGCCGCGGCGGGGAGGGCAGGGGGCACGGGCCGGCACGCGCAGCCTGCCCACGCACAGGCAGGGCTCGGCAGGCCAGGGGGCAGCGCAGGACATTGAACATGCCCACATGCGGCTGCCCACCCACCTTCTGCACACCCTGGTCTATATATTCCTGGGCCTTGATCAGGATGAGGGAGTCGGCCTCCATCGTGCTGGTGAAGCTGACTGCGCAACGAGGGGCGTGAGGGACACACACGCAGAGGAACACACGCATGTGCACGCACCGTGGGCCGCTCCGCTGGTGGGCGTGGGCAGCGCAGGCGGCTCGCGGCGCGGCAGCACAAAAAAGCACCCGGCGGGCCCCGTTGAGCTGCGTGGCGGAGCCCGCGGGCGGGCGGGGCGCCTGCACCCCCTCACCGATCATGCCCAGCCTGTTGTGCTCCGAGCAGAAGCCCGCCCGCATGGCGTCCAGCACGATGTGGACGTACATGCCCTTCTGGGCGCTGCGCAGGGCACGGCAGGAGGCGGGGGAGGCGGGCGTCAAGCCCTGTTTATACCGGGGCGTTGCGGCAGGGTGCGCTGGAAGCGTGGAGGCGTGGGGAAGGAAGCGCCCCATGCCCAGGGCCCGCACCTGTACACATCCAGCTGCCGCAGGAGGACCTCCCGGGCCGCCTCGAGGTGGCCGCCGCCAGGCCCCGCCTCTGCCGCCGCCATCAGCTCATCCACCTGCGGGTCGTAGCGCCGCATCTGCAGCAGGCGGCGGCGCATGGGGGGGTGGGGGGGCAGCACTTGGGGCCTGGCCAGAGCTGGCTGCAGCTGGCAGCGACGGGCATTTGGCTTGCCGGCGACTGGCTATGCCACACATACGATTCGGTACTCTGGACCCTCCTGCCTCCCTCCCTCCCTCCTCCTGAGCAGTACCTGTCAGGTCCGCACTGCTGGTCAGCGGTATATGTACCGCTCCATGCCATACCGCCTCACCTTGTAAAGCACGTTGTAGCCGTCCACCAGCGTCACCCCGGTGGGCTGCTCCCCGGGCGCGGAGATGTTGGTGCCAAACATGGAGCAGAGGGTGAGGCGGTCCGACTTCTGCCGCCGCAGCTCCTCCTGCAGCCGCTCCCGCTCCTCCCGCTGCCTGCGGTGGGTCAAACATGCGCATTTTCATCTGTGAATTCAAGCAGGGACTGGGCAGGCGTGCCAAAGCTCCTGTGGCGCCCCTCCTCGCTGCCTCCCGCCGGGGCATCCAGCGGCAAAGCCAGGTGCTGCCGGCGTGGCAGCGCAGCAGACCCGGACAGCCTGCCTGCCGGCTTGCGGCCCCAGCGGGGAGGTGCCCACTCGCGCCGCGCCCCTGCACCCTCACCTCCTGTACTCCTCAGAATCCAGGCTCTCCTGGCGGAACGCCTGCGGTACTGGCGGCTTGCGGTACCCCGCAGTCTGCTGCCGCTCATACTCCTTGTTCTGCCGGGCCCAGCTGATCTGCTGGCGCACGGAGATGTTGATGGTGCTGTCCACGCGGCGAGGCGGCGGCGCGGGCCGCGGCGGGCCCTCCTCGTCGCTGCTGCTGCTGGCGCCGCCGTCGCGCGAGGCCGGCTTGCGGCGCTTCTTGCCGTCGCGAGCCAGCACCAGGGCTCGCAGCTCCCGCCCTCTGCGGCCGGGCTGCGGCCGCTGCTGGGGGGTGAGACAGCCCCTCAGCCTGCTGCCGCTAAGAATGCCGTGGCTCGGCCCCCTTCTCGCGCCTGCCGGCAGGCGGCAGGCGGCGCCCGCCGCCCACACGCGCGCCACACCGACCAGTCGTGGACGAGATGGGAGCGCGAGACGGGCTGCGGGTGCTCCAGGAGGCGAAGCGATTCGCCGTCAGGCCCAAGTGCCTGCAGGTGCTGCCAGCGAGGTGGCGGGGCAGTTGCTGAATGGATACACGGTTCAAAGACGCTGGTTCAACGCGGGAATGGACAGCCTGCTGCGGTGACCATCGCAGCTCAGCACACTCCATCGTTACAGGCGTGATCAGGCACAGTGTTGCGTTGTGTGAGAGCAGATGCCGCCCTTGTGGTAACACCGGAGCCGATGCTGCGTGCCTGTGTGTCGGCACGCTCCCCTTCCCACCGCTGCCTTGCGCCAGTCCAGCGAGCCCCAGGGCCTCGCAGCGCAGCCTTACCGAGGCGATCCATCACCAGCTGCCAGGCGGGCACCCGCCGCTCCCTCCTGCTCTTCACCGCCGGCGGCGTGGTAGCGGCGGCAGGCGGCCCGGCGGCAGTCATGGCGGCAGGGGCTGAGTCGATGGAGGTGGACGCCACCAAGGCGCCACCAGCGGCGGCCTCGGACATCCCAAAAGCAGAGCTGGCTCCCGGGCTGGAGATCAGCCGGATTGTGAAGGTGCGGCAGGCTCGGCCGTGTGGCCATCACCCTGCCTCTGCGCTCTGTTGGCGGCTGCTGATGCTGTCATGCTGGCGCTGTGCGCGTGCACATTCAGGGGTGCTGGCAGCTGAGCGGCGGGCACGTGGGCGAGCGCGCCACAGACCGCACCTCAGGACAGGCCGCCATCGACGACTTCCAGGCCTTTGTGGCGGCGGGCATCACCACCTTTGACACAGCAGACATCTACGGCCCCTCGGAGGCCCTCATCGGCCGCTACCTGGCCTCCCACCCAACCGAGAAGCCGGCAGTACAGGTGCGCCCGCAACTCCTAGCGGCGGCTTAGGGCAAAAGGGCCGTACTCCTTGCGCTTTGCGGGAATGCTGAGGCACACTGCCTGCTGCTGCCCTGCTGGTTTGCGCTGCTGTCATGGAGCATGCCTCCTTCGATCAGCGCATCCCCCGCACCTCTCTGGTGCCACCACACACATCATTCGTACGTCTGCATTCACACACCTGCAGGTCCTCACCAAGTTCTGCTGCTTTGGCGACTCGATGAACGCGGCCAAGGAGCTGCGCTTTGTGGAGCAGGCGCGCAGGGCCGCAGCCAGCAAGGCACCAGCCGGCAGGGCACCAGCCGGCAGGGCCCCAGCCAGCAGGGCACCAGCCAGCAGGGCACCAGCCAGCAGGGCACCAGCCAGCAGGACCGGCATGCGCTGCAGAGCTGCAGAGCTCGGCCCGCCCGGCAGCACAGTGCTATTCTGGGCATCGTGTCCACCACGGCCACCACCACCACTGGCATGCACGCACACACACCATGCACCCCTGCCTGCCTGCCTGCCTGCAGAGCATCGACGCCAGCCGGCAGCGGCTGGGGGTGGAGAGCCTGGACCTGGTGCAGTTCTACTGGCATACCTACTCCAACAAGAGCTACGTGGCGGCAGCACTGAACCTGGCGGCACTGCAGGTGGGCTGCGCTGGACTTGCAGCGGCACGGCCAGACCCAGCCAGCCAGGCGTTTACATGCCGGTTCCGCACATGCGGGCCTTTGTGCCTGCGCCCCTGATGCCGCTCACTCGCCCCCGTGCTGCGGCACGCCCGGTCCCTGGCCCCCTCCTCTGCAGAAGAAGGGCAAGGTGAAGCACGTGGGAGCCACCAATTTTGATGTGCCGCGCCTCAAGGAGATGAGCGAGGCCGGGGTGAAGATAGTGAACAACCAGGTGCGGAGGGGTGGGGCTGCGCTGAGCTCTGGCAGGACTGGGCTTGCGCTGGGCTGAGCTTGCTCTGGGCTTGCCGTGGCGCAGCGTGCTCCAGCCTGCCTGACAATGCTTCCCAGCCCACGCTCCTGCCTGGCACGCACTGCCCACCACTGCCGTCGTCTGTACCGCCTTGCAGGTGCAGTACAGCCTGCTAGACCGGCGCCCCGAAAACGGCATGGCAGCCTACTGCGCTGAGCAGGGCATCAAGCTGCTGCCGTATGGCGTGCTGGCGGGCGGGATACTGTCAGACAAATACCTGGGAGCCTCACCTGATGAGTGAGTGGCGCTGACCATGACCATGCCGCGGGGCCAGGCGGGGCAGGCGCATGATGTGGGCAGGCTGGGCTGGCGTGCAGGCCGGGGCAGCCGCGGTGTGGGTTGCCCCGGGCTGGTGTGACGTTTGGGGCGCCTGAGGGTGTCCGCACCCCTGCCTCCTCCCCCTGTTGGCTGCGCCCTGCCTCACCTCGCGCCGCTTCTCTGCTGTGCCGCAGCCTCAAGATCAACACCTACTCCAAGTCCAAGTATGCCAGTGTGATCGGCCAGGCGGGAGGCTGGGACTGGTTCCAGGCAAGCCGTGGGTGTGGTGGCGGTGTGGTGTGTGTATGTGTGTGGGACTCGTGGCAGCTGGCACGGTGCTGGAGTCGCGCAGGCAATGGGGCATCAGGGGATGCGCGTTGGGTGTTTGCCCACCGCCTCATGCACAACCTCCTGCACCTGCCTTACGACCCCCTGCGCCGCAGACGCTGCTGCAAGCCTTGTCTGAGGTGGGCAAGAAGCATGGGGTGAGCATCGCTGACGTGGCGGCGCGGTGGGTGCTGGAGCGGCCCCAGGTGGCGGGCGTGATTGTGGGGGCGCGCAACACCAGCCACGTGGACGACCTCAAGAAGGTCTTCACCTTCCAGCTGGACGACGGTGGGTGGCTGTGTTGTGCGCTTGGGATGCGGCCTGGTGCGAGAGTGGCGTGGCTGGCCTGCTGCTTGCCATCTGGCTCTGTGCCAGCTCATGGCGGGCCGCCGCCATCCGGTCGACGTGCCGTGCGTCTGCCCTGCGCAGCCGACAAGGCGGCCATCGACGCAGTGCTGGCGGCGGGCAAGCAGGCGGAGGGAGATTGCTATTCGTGGGAACGCGGGGGCAAGTGGTGATTGGCCGTCCCTGCTGACCGAGAATACAATGTGGGCACACTGTGCGCAATGAGCCGGCGGCGCAAATGGCTGTTGCCCTGCCATTGGCTGTCACTGTTGTTGTATCATTCGGATCGTGCGGTTGTTGCTGAAAGGAGTGTAAAGTTGAGTTTACGCAACCAAAACCCTCGCGGTGGCAAAAGGGCGGGGCGCTGCCAGCCTGTCGAGCACAGCGCACTGCCAGCCTGTCGGAAACCACCGCTGATCCGCTTGGTGCCTACTCAAATCCCACGCCCAGTCAACCCTTGTTCACATGCCAGGCGCTTACACACACATGCAAAAACGAGCAGCTGAAAACTTAGTCTTGCAAGGCCAGCACCAGGATGCGCTGGATCGGCGGGCAGACCAGGCGTTCTGAGCAGGTTGTGCTGAACCCTGGCCAGGCTGAGGGCTGCGGTGCGCAGGCGGGAGCGCTGGTCCGCAGCCAGGCGCCCCACCAGCCAGCCAGCCTCGGCAATGGATCGCTCCGAGACAGCCGGCAGCGCATGTGCCAGGGCAGGGCAGGGGGCAGGCACCAGCTGCCACTGGGCGTCTGCGAGCGGCAGGTGGCTTGCCAGATCGGCGTAGAGGCTCGCGGCTGCGCTGTTCAGGTCAGGCTGGTAGCGATTAAGGGTGTCCAGGGCTGGCTGCACAGTCTGCGCTGCCTGCACCAGGCAGCAGGCTGAAGCAAGGAACGATTCACGCCTGCGACCTTTCTGCCGCAAGCCTGCCAATGCCGCAAGTAATGGGGTGTTGCCATGCTTGTCTACCACAAAGGCGCCAGCAGGGTCTGCCTCCACCAGCAGCTGCACAACAGCGCTCGCACCATTGACGGCTGCGCAGTGCAAAGGTGTCAGCCCTGGGAATGTCCTGGATGAAATGGTTTTCGGGGCTGCCGCCAGGAGGAGCTGCGTCACTCCACACTTATCATAATATGCTGCATAGTGAAGTGCTGTCACGTCATCTGGGCTGTGTGTGGCTGCTGCTATCTGCTGGTCAGCTGCCAGCATCTGACGAACAGCCGCTTCATCACCAACTATTGCAGCAGCGAGGAGATCAAGGGCAGCTGCCATCCCTTTGAACCGGGTCAACACACCCGGTTCAGAAGTACAGAAGAGGCATCATTCAATGGCGTGAAGCATGGAATTGGAAGCAATTGACTCCCACAACAAATTCACTCACAGATGTGCTCCACTGGCAGCGGGCGGGCGGGGTGGCGACGCAGGGGGCGAGGGTAAAATTGCACCGCCAGCAATGCACCCTCCAGCAATCCGCTGTGCTGGTCCCCACAGGCCAGGAGGTACGCTGAGGGAGCTAAACAATGTGGAGCCGAAGATAAAGGTAAAGGTGGGGAAGAGCCTCCACAGGCTTAACTTCCCGGTTTTAACGTCTAGCTTTAGACCATTATTTGATCTGCCCGACGCGCCAAGTGCAGTACCCCCCACTAAGAGAGGCAGGCAGGGTGGCCGTCTGGGCAGGCTCAATGCGTCAGGCTGGTGCACCGTTGTTGCCAGACTAGAGTTTGATGTGCAGAAGGCCCTTGTTGCAGCCCCCATTGCCCATTGTGGCAACCAGTGGTGGGGAGGAAAGGGAGGCGTAGGACTGCTGTCGGCTGCTCATCAACCAGAGCGCTCAGAGTTTCCACATCCTCTGGCAGGTGCTAGCACTGGGGGCATCCAACGTCCCACCTCCCCTCGCTTTGGGTTGAGCGACAAGCACCCCACCTGCACGTGAAACCTGACCTGATCCTCACCTTTTGCCCGGGTTGGCTGCAGCACCCAACGCCTGCGCCAGCAGCCGCTCGGGCCCGCCCCGTCACCAGGGCCGCCACGACCTCCACCGCCTGCACCTACTCACCGCCCCTGCCCCTGTGCCCTCCCTCGCCTTCGGACCTGCCACCATGCCGCCAGCAGTGGAGATGGCTCTGGAGCGCCTGCGCAGGGCTGCAGGCCGCCGCCAGGCGCAGGAGTATGGGCCAGACATGCATGACTTGACGGCGGCGTACGAGAGCCTGCTGAGCGCCGATGCGCTGCTGCAACAGGCGGCTGCCAGCGGCCCCGCGCCGCCGCAGCTCCCCCTGCTGTGGAGCGCGGATGCCGCAGATCGCAACCCGCTGCTGTTCAAGGTGGGCACCACAGCATCTGGTGACCACTCCTGGGCTTGTCTCCCTGCAACGTGTGCCTGCAGCTTTTCCGCTACGCCATGCAGGGTCTTGTGCAGCTGATACGGGCGTACTCTCTTGCCGGCAGCCTGGACGCTGCCCTGCCCATGCACGAAGAGCTTCAGTATCTGACGGCTGACTTTAGCTTTCGGGTAGGTGAGGGGAGGCAGGACGCCAACCCAGCAGGCGAGACGAGCATTGGGTGCCTCCTCATCTTCTCGACTTTTCGCTCACGGAAGCAGCACCAGTTTCCTGTGCAGCCTCTCACTAATCATCGTGGAGGGAACTACATCTTTTTGATACCGGTCGTGGACTCAGGTCAGCAAAAGGTTGCCATATCTGTTGCATGCGCATGGGAGACGTTGCTTTCTTAGGGTTAGGCGCAAACTTTGAACTGAGCTGATCGGCCGCCTTTTGCTGCCCTGCGCTAGCAGGGCTGACTCCAATCACGGTGCTCCAAATGGTGGCAGCCGGCTATTACTTGCTCACTCGCGCAGAGACCTGGACGCCGTTTAGGCTGGCCATCAGGGCGCTGCAGGAGGTGTGGCCTGAGGCAGCAGACCCCATGACAGGGCACGCCACGCTTGTGGCCCATGCCTGGCAGCAGCTGGAACGCAACCTGTGGACCCCTTCTTTCAGCTCCGCCCCAGGCCCAGCCACAGAGCTGGAGCCGGCCCCTGGGCCCCTGGGCCGAGCGCTGGCTGCCAACCTGCGCCGGCACTGCCCCGACTTCAGCCTGGCAGACCTGTACCGCGCCGCACTCCTGCTGCGCATCAAGTCTGCAAGCTGTATCATCAATGAGCTCTGCAGCCTACGAAGGCAGCCATACGCAATTCTGGCCACCCTTGACAGCCAACTGCTGCTGATCCTGTCAGACGCAGAGCCGACAGATGAGCAGAGCCGGCATCCCGCCGGGCGGAGGGTTCATTCATTCATTCAGCACACAGACCGGCCGCCTCTTGCTCGAGGGCGGCCCACTTTGGCCTGGGCAGCCCGGGCCGCCCTCCCCCCCCGGGCGCATGTTCGGTGTTGGAGGGGTGCGCCCAGCGATAGGGGGCCCCTGAAGGCATGCGCCGAGGCCGGGAAGCGTGGTTCGGCGCTGCTGCACGCTTGGCGACTTGAACAGAACCGCGTGCCGCCGAGCTGCGGCCGCAGTTTCCGGCCCACAGTCTACGGCCGCAGCCACGGGACTCGGCGGCACGGCGTTTGGGCCCAAGCTTGCTGCCGCCGCCGCCGTGCCCGGGGGGCAGCGCGGCGGCGGCGGCGGCACGCTGCGACGCCCCCGAGCCACCGAGCTGCGGCCGTAGCTTCCTGCCAGAAGCCCACGGCCACAGCCACGGGACTCGGCGGCACGGCGTTTCGGTCCACGGCTTGCTGCCGCCGCCGTCGCAGGGGTGCTGCCTGCGGCGGCGGCGGCACGGCGTTTGGGTCCACGGCTTGCTGCCGCTGCCGCCGCCGCAGGGGTGCTGCCTGCGGCGGCGGCGGTAGCGCACGTGGCAACCCCCCGCCTTCCTTGCCTCCCATCCACCGGACCCCGTCNTGCGCTTCACTTTGTTTCGGGAGGGGCTGCTCACTGCTCATTGCTCATTGCTCATCGCACACTGCTCAACGCTCATTGCCCTATATCCCACCCAGCCGCAGGACTCTACTGCCGCCCGCGCCCCGCCCCATCTGGCCGCTTGCGCGCCCCATCCCCCCTCGATGGGGCCCGCCCACACCGGGGCCTCCCCCCTCCCGCCCACTGCTTTCTCAACGGCCCCGAGCCGGGGCTGCCCTCATTGCATACATAGTGCGCCTTTCCCTGCTTTTCTAGTGACCTAGCGTTCCGCACTGCCGTTTGGCCAGCCCATGCTCCCGTACCGTTGCGTTTCTCCCCAATGCGCCATGCCACTTTGCCAGTCATACACACGTTTCGATGCGTGCCCTGTCAGCTGCTTGCGTTGCATGTCGCCTTGCTCCACCCCTGTTTTATTGCTTTCTCTGCTTTCGCCCGGTTCCCGTCCCGTTTCGGCGGGGAGTCTATGTTGCAAGCTAGTTCTTGCTTTACCAGACTTTAAGCCCACACAAGCAACAAGCAAGCCTGCTGGCAGCATTGTTCCAGCAGACGCCTTGTGTGCTGCACAGCGCGCTGCACTAGCCTCGTTTGGCGCCATTTCGGCGCAGCGGGGCACCCCTGCCACAGTGGCAGACCCACTGGGCCGCCCGTTGGCTTGGATGGATGATCGTGCCGCCTTCTATGAGCAAGCACTTGCAAAGGCAGTGGCTGGCAAGCGTAAGATGTCCTGGGCATGGAATCGGCTGCATTTTGCCTGCAAATACCTGTTGCCTTGCCCGCGTGGACCCATCCAGTTGCTATGGTGCCCTGCAGGGTGGTATTGCGCACTGAGAGTGGCAATCAGCTTTGCTTACGAGTGTATGTGCTTCGTGCTGCAATCGCCTGTCATTCTGGTGGCGCCGGCGCAGGCGCCGGCGCGGAGAGCCTGGCTGCTGAACCGGGCGCAGCAGCTACTGGAGCAGGCGCGCGAGATGCTGCCCCGCCTCGAGCCCTGGCTGCCTGCCCTGGAGATGGACACAGCGCGGCGGGAGGTGCAGGAGGGGGAGGAGGCGCTGGCAGATGCGCACCGCGGTGAGCACCACTAGCTTCGAAGTCTGTGGGCAGACCCGTTCACGCGTAGGAGAGCTGACAAGGTGTCACCTTGCCGGTGGTGCGGTCACCCCCACTTCTGGATGGTCTTGCTTGGAATTTACAAGCCTGAGGCACCCAATTCTGCTGGGTGTGCTGCTGCAGGAGTCTTCCCTTCAGAGCAGGGCGAGGGGCCGTGGTCTGCCGCTTGGACAGCGGCCCCCACGTGTGCGCAGTGCGACCAGACTGCTTTGCACCTGAGCAAGTGCAGCGGATGCCGCGCCGTGGCCTACTGCAGCCGCGCCTGCCAGGTGAAGCACTGGAAGGAGGGAGGGCACAAGAAGGAGTGCAAGCGGCTGGCGGCGGAGCAGAGCAGCCAGTAAGGACGGCACCACCTGAGGTGTGATCCTCTCCCGCTGCGCGGCTTGCAGCCGGCGGGCCTGCTGCACTTCGAGTAGATAGACTTGGTCATTACCGAAGCAATATACCTACTTTCTTGTTGGATGACTCTTGCAACCCCACTTGCTCACCCTCTCCAATGCTGGTAGCGTCACTATTGGAGAGAGATGCTAAGCGCCGGCGCCGCCCCGCTGCCAGCTCACCTCTGCAGTGCTCACCTACGGGGTGTGCGAGCACCTGCACAGTGCGGATTTGCCGCTGGGCAATAGGGGGGGCCTCCCCTGGCGCCCTGTAGCTCGGTGGGAACAGCTGTTGAACATGCCACGCGGGTGCAGACCCCGCCTCGCGCTGTCAGTCCTGCTGCATCTGGCAGCGCTAGCGGCGGCAGCCGTGATGAAGAGCAAGAGGCAACGTTGCGGCGGGCCGCTGGGACTGGACCATCCCGCCCTCAACAGCACAACCACAGAGTGCCAAGCCTACCGCCGCGTCTGCTTCGATCAGGTAAGCAGCGCGCGTGTGTGCCGATCCAGCACCACTGAAATCGAGCCGCGCACTCGGCACCGACCGGCCGCTGCCGCCGCCGCCGCTGCTGCCCTCGCCTGCAGGGCAGCGTAATTTCCTTTGATGAGGCCCACAGCCCCGCCAACCGCACCTCTGTGCCCATCCCCCGCCTCAACATCACGCATCTCGTGTACAACTGGGCAGGGCTGGAGGGCAACAACGACCGCCTGCGCAGGTCGCTGTCGTCGTACGAGCCGCTGGCCTACCGCTTTGGCAGCGGGGCGCTGGAGGCCAGCCCCGACCTGCGCCAGCCCCTCTTCTCCAACTGCACCGTGCCGGTCGTCATGTGGACCAACGTGGGGCGCTGCTGTTGCACCAGCGGCTCTCTGCGCTCGCACTAGGCCTGCCCTTCCCTAGCGCTGGGCGCTGCCGCCTCCAGCTTGCCCCCCAGCGCCAGCGCCTGGAGCGCCAACCACCCTCCTCTGGGCCTGCACCGCCCCTGGCCGTGCCCGCAGTGGATCCACAACTTCGCGGAGGCGTTCTCTCATGTGGCGGCGCGGGTGTGGGCGCTGCAGGACGGCGGCGCGATGAGCAGGGCGGCCACGCTGGTGGTGGGCACGCCCGCGGGCGAGCGCCTGCCCGACTTCCTGCCCACGCTGCTCCGCCCCTTCACGCCCCACCCAGTGGAGTCCTTTGGAGAGGCGAGTGCGATTGCGTGTGGGTGGTCAGCGCCGTCGTGGCTGCTGGCGCTGCTGGTTGCTGGTTGTTGCTGGGGACGTTCTGCGCTGCTTCTGCCGTGGGTGGCTGGAGCAGGCGCGGGCCTCACCTGGCTACATCAGCTCCCTCGCCCACGCCGCCTGCTGCCGCAGTTTTCGCAGCGGTGCGGCACGAGCGGCGGCGAGGAAGAGCCCAGCCCCGGCGCCGCTGCCGGCAGGCCGGCAAGCAGCAGCAGCGCCGCCGCCGGCGGGCCGGCAAACAGCAGCAGCGCCGCCGCCGGTGGGCCGGCGAGCAGCGGCGCCGGCCGCTGCTTCCAGACCGCCTACCTCTGCGCCTTTTTGTACGGCTACTACCAGGCAGACTACGGGGCAGCCCAGGCCATCTTCAGCCACTACCAGCTGCAGCTGCCGCCGTTGCCGGCCGAGGCGCGGTTCCAGGGTGGGCCGGAGGTGCTGAAGGTGGGCGGGTGATGGTGTGCGTTGTTCTGCGTGCGCTTCCCGGCCCTCGTGGAGTGCACCCTCCCTCCACCCTCCTGGTGGCCCACACATGCCGTACCAGCCCAGCCCCATCCACCCGCCCGCACACCCAGCCCCATCCACGCCGCCGCCGCCTGCCCGCCGCCAGGTCCTGATCAACCGTCGCCACGGGCCCGTGCGCAACCTGCTCAACAGCGCCGCGCTGGTCCAGGCCTGCAACGACCCAGCTGCCTGGCGGGGCCTGGCGGGGGCCCAGGGCCGCGGCTCGCCCATCCGCCGCGTGCAGTGCCGGGAGGCGGGCCTGGGCGGGGATGGGCTGGCCAACATGGCCGCGGTGCGGGCCGCCGACGTGCTGGTGTGCCTGCACGGCGCCGCCTGCACCAACTGGCTGTTCATGTCTAAGGGGTCGGCGCTGCTGGAGATCAGGTGGGCCTGGGCCTGGGCCGGGTGCGCCTGGATGCGGTGTGCGCTGTCGCGTGTGTGGCTGGCGGGCGCGCGCCTGGCTCCACCCTCCGCCAACGCCGCGGGCCGGCCGCCCGCGTGCCGTGCCAGCGGCGACGCCCGCCGCGCCCGGCGTGCCTGCGACGGCTGCCTGCGCTGCGCCGGTACCGCTGCAGGCCCTACCAGTTTGGGTCGCTGGCGCGGTTCTGGGCGGATGCCCACTTTGCGCAGGTGCGCCCGCCTGCGCCGCCTCCTGCCGGGCCGCCTGCCGGGCCGCCCGCCGCGAGCGCGAGGCCTTGCCATGGCAGGCGGTGGGGTGCACCCTTGGCAGGGGTCGCTGAGCTGGCGCTGCCTTGGCGTGCTGCAGATCGCAGAAGCCACTGGGCACCAGGTGTTCTGGTACGGCTTAAATATAGAGGTGCGTCCCTGCCTGAAGCTGTGTATGTTGCACCTGGGCGCCCCTCAGGCTGCCCACCTCGTTCCAAGCCTCGCTCCCAGGAGGGCCCCACGCCCGCCATGGCCCTGTCGCCAGGCTGCCCTCGCAGCATGCGACCTGCCGCCGCCAGCCCGGCGCTCGCTCCTCCGCATCCATATGCCGTGGCGCCGCCTGCCGCAGGACCCGGCGCTGTCCAAGCCAAGCCAGCTGGAGGCGGCGCGGCCGGCCCGCGAGGGCAGCAGCGGGCAGCTGAAGGAGGCGCGTGACCGCCACGTGTTGCTGCCCTTTGACGCGCTGCAGGCCATGCTGCTGCAAATCGCGGCCGCGGGGCGCCGCCGGGACGCGCACCTGCGGCAGCGCGGCAGCGGGGAGCACTACGCCGAGCTGCTGCCCGGCGGGCAGCTGCACGCGGTGGCGGCGGCCGCGGCGGGTGCTGATGGCCGCGACGGCACCCAGGCGGCCGCCGCGGGCGTGCTGGCGCTGCTGGGCGGCGGCCCAGACCGGCGGTGGTGGCCCTGGGGGCTGCTGGTGGCGGTGGGCGCGGCCATGGCGGCGGCTGTGGTGAGGATGCGCGGCGCGGCGCCAGCAGGCGCCTCTGGGCTCCTCAGCTCAGGCCGCACGCCCCACCAGTTCTGACTGCTGTGACGCCACTGTAACCGGCCTAGGCGTCTGGGCGCTGCTAGGGCAGGGCAGCAGCATGCGTTACACCCGCTGCATCCCGGGGACGCAGCGGGGGGCTGAGGGGCAAGTATGTAGCATGAAAGGTGTGGGCCGCGGGGCCCAAGCATCAGAAAAGGCGGGGGCGGCGAGGGAGGAAGATACAAAACGGCAACGAGCGGCAAACCCTGGGTGTGCAGAGGGCGGGATGCCACGAGTGGGTAGGCGTGGCAAGCCTGCCACAAACGCAGGTGCCTGCTCATGCTGACCGGCAGGAGGCGGGCAGCCCCCCGCCAGAGCAGGCCACCGCACAAGGGCAGCGTGGGCAGGCGGTGCGCTGGGTCCGAGTGCTGACGAGCGGCAGCTTTCAGCAGGGCGCGCCGGCCTCACAGCATCAGCATCTTGCGTGCCTCCACCATGAGGAAGCCGAAGCAGGCGGCCACGCCGGCCACCGCCGCCATCATGAGCCCGTTGCGCAGCAGCAGGCGGTTGTCGTCGTGGGGCACCTGCAGGGAGAGGGGAGGAGTGGCCGTGTGTGTGTGTGTGTGTGAGTGCGTGAGAGAGCGCAATCACGGCACGCAGGACGAGTGCCCTGCCTAGCCCCAGGCTCACCACTGCATCCTTGAGGTTGCTGGTTGTCTGGAAGAGGCGGTGTGACAGCACCACGTAGACTGCAGGCGCAGGAGGGCAGGCAGGAGCAAGTGAGGACAGGAGGCGCAGCAGGTGGCGGGGCAACCCGTGCGCCTGTCGTCACCAGCAGCAGATTTCCAGCAGGCGGGGTTGGTCTGGTGCAGGCCGCCTTGCCGCGCATTGGCGCCCGGGCATGCATGCAGGCAGGGCCAGGCAGGTACAGCCATGCACACCAGCACCAGGGCCAGGCATGCACAGCACCAGGGCCACGCTGCCACGCACTTGCTGTCACCACCGCAAAGTTGAGCAGCGGGTAGCCCGGCAGCAGCGTGAGCAGGTAGATGGGCTGGCCGTCGGGCCGCTTGCTGAGCAGCCAGGTGTGGAACTGGCCGATGTCTGCACAGGGCATAGGAGGGACGGAGGGGGAGTTGAGAGGAGAAGCATGGGAGCGGCGGGACGGCGGAGCGGGCTGGGTGGTGGCATTGCGCCGCTCGAATCCATGGCGCCGGGGCGGTTGGCGACAGCAGGGCGGCCGACGGTGTCTGTGGCGCAGCAGCGCTCACATGTCTCCAGCGTGACGCAGCCCAGCCAGCCGTAGAGGCCCATGGAGAAGCTGCGCATCTGCGGCGTGAGGTTGCGCAGCATGAAGAAGACTGCAGAGGGGTGGGGGGGTGGCAGGTGGGGTGAGGGGAGGGCTAGGAGTCGAGGGGGTGGGGTGGAGTGAGTGTCAACTGGGCGTGCCCAAGGCTGGCCAAACGCAGGCGCCGTGCACCAGGCTTGGGCGCCACACGCCTGCCCGCACCCCGGGCCCTTGCCCCCGCTGGGCGTGGTGTCCTGCGAGGCACAGTCGACCACCAGTATCCCGGCCTCGCCTGTGATGGGTATCCAGGATGTGTAGGGGTGGATCCGGTTGTACTCCACCTTGGGCAGCAGGTACACAAAGTGGTACCAGGCGTAGCCCACGGCGCAGAACAGCGAGATGAGCACCGCCCGCGTGGCGCGCCGCCGATGCGCCTCCATGCCGTCCACCGCCTGCAGGAACTTCTCCACCCTGCGGGGAAGGCAGGGGGGCAGGACACACGAGGCCAGGTGAGGGGAGGTTGAGGGACGGGTGGTTGAGAGGAGCTACGGCAGGCGGCCCCGCCAGCCAGGCAGGCCCCAGCTGCAGGCCCTCCTGCTTCTCGCTGCCTTCCCCCTGGCAAACACCGGCAAGCACCCGCGCCTGCAGCGGCTGCTCCATGCCTCACAACTCACTTGGGGTGCATGAAGGCGCAGATCATGCCATAGATCCAGATGTAGCGGTCCAGGGAGGAGCGGAAGAACCACTCTGCAGGGAGGCATGGGATGGTTAGGGTGGGTGAGGTGCTTGGGCCTGCTTGTGTGACGTGGTGGTGGGCCGGAGGGCATCGTTCTCCACAGCCTGCCCTGCTACACAGATCGCTGCTTCGTGCCCCCAAAGCTGCCGCCGCGTGCCATCCTGCCGTGCCCCTGCTGCACACGTGCTGTACTGCCTGCTGTACCACCAGCTGTACCGCCTCACCATACATCTTGTCGCCCCCGGGGCGGCGCGGGTCGGTGTACCCGACCAGGAACATGAAGGGCGTCCAGACGGAGTAGAACACTGCAGGGGGTGCGCCGGGGTGCGCAGCGTGTGTGTTTTGTGGTGGGGCGCGTCTGGGCAGGGACAGTCGGCGCAGCACAGCGCAGCACAGGGCCGCAAGCCCTGGCTTCAGGCCGCTCCCCCACAGCCGCAGCAGGAGCAGCAGCAGCGGGCAGCGTGTTTGGGCAGCAGCGCAGCAGCAGCAGCAGGCACGCACCCATCTTGAGGTCCCAGAAGACAAAAACGGTGAGGAAGCAGGCGCCGATCTTGAGCCAGATGGCGGCGTCGCTCTTGTTGTACTTGGGGAACACGGCCAGGGCTGCGGCAGGGGCATGGGAGAGTGCTCTGTGTGTGCACACGTGTGGAGGAGGCAGGGCGGCAAGAAAAGTGCGTCACAGCGTTCACCCAACGGCAGCAGCGCCGTGGGGTGCGGGGCCCCCACTGCACGGCCGCCCGCACGTCTTCCCACCCTGCCCCTCCTCCTCTCCCGCGCCCGCACCTCCGTAGACCATGATTGTGAAGAGGGTGTGCATGGGGCAGATGTAGTACAGCATGTAGGAGTTGTTGAGCACCAGGCAGCAGAAGAGGACCAGGAAGTTGAGGCGCCACATCATCTGGAAGAAGCGGCCCACCCCAAAGTCGGCGGTGCGGTAGTAGTAGGAGAAGTTGCCTGCAGGGGGGTGTTGAGGGGTTGGGGGCGGTGGGGGTTGGGGGCAGGGGGTGCATGGACACATGGTATTGCGTAGGGTCGCGCAGCGTATCGGCATCGTCCGGGGAGATGCAACAGCAGATTTACAACAGCAGAGCGAGGCAGGGAGGCAGGGACACAGGTAGAGGTGGCTGGGGCATCCAGCAGTGGGTTCGGAAGAGGTGGGCGTGGCAGGCAGGTGGCCGGCAGGCCAGGCCAGGCAGCTGTCACCCCTGCCCCGAGATTGCGCGAATCAGCCCAGCCCTTGAGATTTGCCCCACCCGGCGCTCACCAAAGCCCGTCATCCACACGTAGGCGGCGATGAAGACGCGTATCGCATTGTAGATTTCTTTTGCGTTGTAATAGTGATACAGGAGGAACAGGACCTGCGGGGGGGATTGGCGGACGCTGTTTTTAACGGATCCTCGCCGCACGATGTTCCAGGAACAGCTGACCAACTGCCGGGCCAGGCATGTCTGGTCTGGTCTGCACCAGCCCTCAGGGCCTCGACAGCCGAGCCAGCGCCGCCCCAGGCGCCAGCCCGACCGCCTTGTGCCCGACGACGACCTGCCGCCCACCGCACACGCACCTGCATCCACCCCTTCCACTCCTCCGTCTGCGTGCGGTGCAGCAGCAGCGTGCGGTGCTGCTTCAGCGAGTAGCCGCCCGCCACGGCGGTCAGCACCAGGAAGATGAAGAGCAGGACGTCGCGTGTGTAGGTCTGGCAGGGGGCGGGGCAGGACACGAGGAAGCAAGCGGGCGCAGGCGGGCTGGTGAGCGGGGGCGAACGAGGCGGGGGGCCCATCCGCACGGCCCCGCCAGCTGCTGCTGCGCTGCCTGCTGCGCCGCCTGCCAGTCCACATCGCCATGTATTGTGTCCCTGCCCCCATGGTGTGCATCCCCGCTGCGCTGCGCAGATGCGCCAGGCAGGCAGCCGCGCTGCGCCACACCTTGGTGCCCGGCGCGATGAGCTGGGTGCGGTCTGCCACGTAGAACCAGGCCAGGATGGTCCCAAACTCCACCGCTGACCGCAGGGCCTCGCGGCTGGACAGCAGCGCGTCGCCGTCCAGCATGAGGCAGCGGTAGAAGGCAGAGGAGGCCCAGGCGTAGGTGGGCTTGCCGCTGGCATCGGTGCCGGGCGGCGGCGAGGAGGGCATGCCCGCGCCGGCCGCCTCGCCGCTCGTCGCCTCCACATCCACCGCGCTGCCCACCCCGTTCATCTCCAGCAGCGGCTTGCCCTCGGGGACCGCCGCCGCCTCGGTGTGCGCATGTGTCTGCGCCTTCCTGCGCACGCGCAGACACCGTACGTGGCGGCAGGTTGAGTGCGCTGAGCGTGCTGCTACGGCATTGGTGAACTGCAGCACTGCCCAGCAAAGCCAACCCACAACGGCAGGCAACAGCCATCATGAAATAGACAAGCAGCAACGCTCGCTGGGCTGGCGCCGCACTTTGCATGCGAGCGCTTGTAATTGAGCCACTCGGCGCACATCCACAGCGCTATGGCCGTAATGTAGGCCCCCAGGCAGGCCACCTGCAGGCGACAGGGTGTGTCGTCGCACGAGCAGGTGGGTGCTTGCAGGTGGCGGCGGCTGGCGGCAGCCCGGTTGTTGGGGGCCGCGGCGGTGCAGCAGGCGGGGCGTTGGGGTTCTCAGCGACTCCATCAGTCCACTGGACCGCAATGCGGGTGCAGGCAAGGGCAGCGGGCGCCAAAGACAAGGGGGGCAGCAATAGGGGGTGACGCAGGCCAGCGCTCCAAGCCGGGCCTGCTGCACGCTGCGTTGCCCCGGTGCAAGCAGCCTGGCATTTATTGCACTGCCGATGCAGGCAGCCATGGGATGACCCCGCCAAGCGCGTGAGGCAACACCTCAGTTTAGTTTGAGAGGGCCCCAGCACTGGCAGCTGCCGCGCCCACCTGCCCGGCTGTGAGGGGGCCTGCCGAAAAGTCGTCAGTTGGCACGCCGTCCGTCATGTTCTCGCTCCCCCGCTGCAGCAGCAGTTGTCGGCAACCGCCTCTGCCCCCAGCACGAGCCCTGGGAGGTCCAGGCAGCGGAATCGGGCAATGGGCTGCTTGCCTGGTGCTTGTTGGGCATTCTGCAGGCCCCCATTGTGTCTTGAGCACCGTACTGCACTATGTCCTGCCTGGTTTGGCAGCGAAACATACTAGAGCGCGCTTTCGGGGGTCCCGATGCATTAAAAGCCCCGGTACGTGCCCGCTGCGCTGTTGTGACCTTGCCCAGCCCCTTCCGTGCTCCCCACAGTGGATGCCACTTGCCAGTCCCAGCTTCCGTAGCCCATTTCTCCTGAAACCCTCCCGGATCGCAACTCCTGCCGTGTTCTGTGCTTCTCTTGCCCTCACAAGCCACTGCCGTCGACAGGCAAGCAACGCGGTCGGAGTCCAAGGCCACAGCAGTGCGCCCCGATACACTTGCAAGGCGTCTTGACACCCACGACCGTCGGTGTCATCCCATCTGTGCAGTTGTGGAGCAGCAGGCCGCCGCCAGTCAGCGTTCCCGCCGCCACTGCCGCCGCCGCCGCTACCGGTGCCGACGCCATGGGCTCCTCCCCCAGCACCCCGGCCAGCGGCGACCTGGCTGTCGCCATCAACGCCTTTGGCAACTCGCTGTTCGACAAGGTGGTGGCAGAGGTGGGTCTCGCCTGGCCTGCAGTTTCCGTCGCACTTTGTGCAGTGCTTGGGCCCGCACACTCGACGCCTCACTCCCCTCCCTGCCTGCTCGCAGGCCAAGCCAGGCGCCAGCGCTGGCATCTTCCTGTCGCCATACGGCATCGCCCAGGCGCTGGCGATGGTGCTGAACGGCGTGGATCCTGGGGGCGACTCCTACCAGCAGCTGCAGGAGGTGGTGTTTGGGGCGGGCGCCGGGCCCGGCCCGGCCCTCGACGCCCTAAACACCCAGCTCAAGCAGCTCAGCACCGCGCTGGTCAAGGTGAGCAGATAACAGAGGGAGCGGGCGGCAGACGCGGTATATGCCACGCAATGACATGGAGTCGCCGCCTGGGGCACACCCCATGGCCACCAAGCGGCGGCGGATTGACACCACCACACCACCTGCGCCCCAGCTTCCTCAACCGGCAGCTCCTCACCCGCGGCCCTCCTGCAGGAGCCTACCGACGACCTGACGGTCAGCGACGCCAACTCGGCCTGGCTGCACCAAAAGTACGGCCTGCAGGCCCCCTACGCCCGCGCCCTGCAGTCGGCGTTTGGCGCCCAGGCCGCGCCCCTCACCACTGCCGCCGCCATCAACGCCTGGGTCAGCGAGGCCACCCGCGGCAAGATCACCGGCATCGTGGATGACGGCGCCGTGAGCCAGGTGGGCGCCGCCGCGCGCCGCCGCCTCCCGCCAGCCAGCAGTGGCCCTGCCGCACGCGGCCTATCACCGCGGGGTGACTGCAACACATTGCCTGTGAGCTGGCAGGATTGCCAGAGCCGCAGCTGCCAGCCGGCAGCGCCCACGGCCAGCAGGGGCGCGCCGCCGCCCCCAGCCAGCAGTGCTCCTGCCGCGGCTGCCCAGCCGGCAGCACCCGTGTGCATGTGCTGTGTGCGCCGTGCCGTACTTCTCGCCCAGCCCACCACCTCGCTCTGCCTCCCCGTCCTGATCTCCCACCCCCTGCTGCCTGCCCCCGACCCGCGCGCCCTCCCCGCACACCAGGCCATCCTCATCCTGGTCAACGCCGTGTACTTCAAAGCCCTGTGGCAGTACCAGTTCAAGAAGTGAGGGCAGGCTGCGGGCTGGGGCCTGCTGGTGGGGGGGCTTGTGCGGAGAAGCGCACGGCACATGACACCCGAGTTGCCTGGCCGGGGGCATCCCCCACCCACCCACCGCCACTCAATAGGCATCACCCGGGCCCCCGTCCTCCCCCACCACCACACACGAGCCACCGAGCTACCAGCCCCTGCCCCGCCGGCCCGCCGCAGGGCATCCACCTTCCCGGCCGACTTCCACCTGCTGCAGCACGGCGCCGCGCCGCTGCAGGCAGCCACCATGTTCCAGGTGTTCAAGCCTGACAGCCGCATCCAGGTGGGTGGGGTGGCAAGCAAGCATAGCAAAAAACAACAAGAGGCAGCGGGCCCCTTGCCGTCACGCCTCACAGCGTGCGCCGAGCTGCCCACACCGCCCTGCGCTGCCGCCCCTGGCGTGCCTCCTGCAGACCGCGGTGCTGCCGGCAACAGCGGCGGGCGGCGCTGCGCTGGAGTGCCACGCGGTGCGGCTGCCTTACCGAGGAGGGGAGTACTATGCGGTGGCGGCCATGCCCGGCGGCGAGCTCAGCGGGGCGGCTGCCGAGGGCGGCGGGCTGGGGCTGGTCACGCCGGGCGGCGCCACGGTGCCTTATGCCCAAGCCCTGGCTGCCTGCCGGCAAGCGGTGAGCGGCGCGGCATGCTCGGCCTACCTATCGCCACTCAGCGGCTTTTGGCCTGTCCTTTGAGCGGCAGCCGCGGTCCCCCTGCTGCCCTCCCTGTGCCTTCTGCATCGCTCTGGCCCACCCCCCGTCCCGTGCCTGCCCTGCCCCGCACGCAGCTGCTGTCCAGCCTGCCGCAGCTGTCCAGCGGCGGCAGCGGCAACGCCTCCGGCCTGTGGCAGGTCAGCCCCAAGGACGTGAAGCTCTTCCTGCCCAGGCAAGGCACCCTTCCACCCGCTGGCCGCCCGCTCCTGCCCCTGGTTGCCAGCCCTGCTGCTGGGTGCCAGGCTCAGGCAGCCTGACGCATCAAGCGCCAGCCGCCAGCAGCAACAGTTTTCACACGGCGGAAGATGTTCTGAGGAATCAGCTGCGCCTCGCTCACTTCCTGCACGCCCTACTCCCTCCTGGCCCGCAGGTTTGAGGTCGAGTTCTTTGCCAGCCTGAACCAGTCGCTGCAGGATCTGGGGGTCACCAAGCCCTTTGCCGGAGGCGACATCACGCTGGTGAGCCTGGAGAGGAGGGAATGATCTCTTGTAGAGCAGAAGTCTTACAAACTTTCTTTCCTGGGGACCAGCTGCTGCCCTGTGGTGCTGGGCGGTGCTGCGGCACATAAGAGGCAGGCCGCAGGCACAGGCTACACACGCAAGGTGCAGCGTGGGATGCAGTGTCGAGTGGTTCGGCCGGCGGGCATGCTCCCCAGCCGCGCTGCCGCTGCGCTGACCCCCCGATCCCCGCCCCAACTCCCACAGATTGCGGCAGACAGCCAGGGCAACGCGGTTGGGGACCTGTTTGTGTCGGATGTGCTGCACAAGGTGTATGCCAAGGTGAGGGAGGCTACCACTCTGCATCTGTCTCAGCCTGCCCTGCTGCTCCACTCCTGCTGGCACCTGCTTTGGTACTTCTGCCGCCCTGCTGTTGCCTGCGATGCCAGTGGTTTGGCGGCGGTGCGCTGGAGGCGCCTGCCCGCCACGCCCTGGCTGGTGTGCGTACCGCAGGTGGATGAGAGCGGCACAGAGGCGGCTGCCGTCACTGCCATTGTAGCGTGCGGGTGTGGCGCGCCCATGCGCAGGCGAGCCTGCTGCCGGCTGCTGACTGCTGGCTGCTGCCGCTGCTGCCGCCCCTGCCGCTGCCGAGTAGGTGGACGAGGCGGGGACCGAGGCGGCGGCGGTGACAGCAATCATGATGTGCCGCTGCGCCATGCCCATGCCCAGGCGAGGCCGCCTTGCTCCCTTGGCAGACGCCTCAGCACTGCCCGCTCGCTGCGACAAGTGGCATGCTTGCTGCCGCTGCCCCATCGCAGCCCCGCCGTGTGCCCTTCTTGCTGGCATGTCTGGCAGTTTCCATTTCCCTCGCCCCTGCGACCCCGTGCCGCTGCCCGCTGCCCGCTGCCCACCAGGCTGAGCCGCCTGACTGCCCTGTCGCCCTGCCCGCAGGCCAGAGCTGGAGCTTCGCTTCGACCGGCCGTTTGCGTTTGCCGTGGTGCACGGCCCCACCGGACTGGCCCTGTTTTGCGGCGAGGTGCACAAGCCAGAAGAGTTCTCAAAGGGGCTGTGAGCGCTTTCTTGTGTGGACAGCGCACAGCTATGCTGCGGCGGCTTGAGCTGAGACCCTGCTGGTCTGTGGCCGAGGCAAGCCTAATTGGTGTGGGCTATGGTGCTCAGCTTCTGCTGCGTCTGGAAGTGCGTTCATGTACATTAAACATGCTGTGAATTAATTTAAAACCAATGATGAGAAGAAATGGCAGCTCTTGTTCTCAGAGAGCCTGTTATGCATGGGTGGCGCATTTCAGCCCAATAGCCTCCACACAGACTGCGCTGGCAGCCCTCTCATTTGCCTGTCACTTCTCGCCTCGCACTCTCGTGATTCTCTGCTAAACTGAGGAGCCCGCCCCTGCCAGCTGGTGACAGCTGGTGCTGGCGCCGTCAGCTGCCTACGCGCCCCACTCCTCCGGCTTGTATATTTGGCCATTGAACAGAGCAAGGCCCGAGGGACAGTGTACGATGGAGAACAGGAATGGCCGGTCGAACCGAAGGTCCACGGGCGGGCTGCAGGCAGCGGGAGGCAGAGACGGGGCGGTGCACCACAATCAAGATGGTGTCAGGCATGGGGCAGCGGAGAAGCCGCAGCGGCAGCAAGGGCTGCTCTCAGCAGCTGCAGGCCTCACTTGGTCTGCACCGGCGCGGAGGTGGTCACAGCAATGGCGGTGACGGCGGCAGCCTCTGCTCCCTTCTCGTCTACCTGCACCAGGCGTGGGCACCGCCAGCAGGCAAAACGACATTGAGCAGCGGCCGCCCTGCAGCAGCGCCCCCAGGCTGTGCGCACTGCAGCTTGTACCGCCGCATAGTACCGCCACAAAACAGCCCCACACCTCACCTTCTCGTACACCTTGTGCAGCACCTCGGTGACTGCTAGGCCCTGCACCGGGTTGCCCTCGGCGTCTTCTGCCATCTGCGGGGCAGCAGCAGCAGCGCCGCCGGCGGTGTCAGCAGGGAGATGGGGAGATGGGGAGGTGGGGAGGCTACAGATGCAGCAGTGAGCAGGGCACACACCTGCGTCAGGTCCCCGCCCTCAAAGGGCTGCGTCACGCCCAGGGCCTGCAGCGCCGTGTTCAGGCTGGCAAAGAACTCGATCTCAAACCTGCGGGGGGCAGGGCAGGCAGCAAGAGGCCAGGCGGGGGCTTCGGCAGGTGCAGACGAGAGAGGCGCGCGGGCGAGGGCGCAACAGCGCGTGCGGCGCCGCCGGCAGCGGGGGTCGCGGCGGCCGGCAGCGGCAGCGGGCGCTGGCTCACCGGGGCAGGTAGAGGTTGATGGGGCTGGTGGAGTAATCCCAGGCCTTGCTGTCAAAGCCGCCCGGCAGGCTGTCCACGACCTGCATGCACGGGGCAGGCGCCGCGGCTGGGGTTCGGTGCATGCCAGGGACAGGGCCTCCAGGAACCCGGTGTGCAGACGAGCGCTGTGCTGTGGGCGCTGCCACACGCAGCCCGGCCCTCCGGCGCAGCATGTGCCCATCCCACTTCCCCACACCACACTCACCGCCGAGCGGCAGGCAGCCAGCGCCTCGGCATAGTCCACCGGGCCCTCTGCGGTCTCCAGCTCCAGCTGTGCACCTGCCACCTTGCGCACGGCGCCCACGGGCTGCGCAGCCACGCCTGCGGGCAGCAGATGGTAGGGGAGGGGGCGCCAAGCTCCCAGTGTGTGAGCGCACCAGGTGCCATGCGGCTTGAGGCGCAGTGCCAGCATAGCAGAGTTGCGCAAGCAGCCTCGCTCCAGCATGTCAGCATCTGCTCCACCTCTGCGGCTCACCTGCATACTCGAACCCGGCAAACAGCAGCTGGATGGCCTGGCACTTAATGGCCACATTTCCTACCGCCGCGGGCAGGGTTGCCACCTGCACCGCCCTCTCCTCCAGCGGCTGGTACATCATGGCTGCCTGCATGGTGCTGCCGTCCAGCAGGTGGAAAGGAGTCGCCTTGGTCAGCTCCCTGCAGGGAAGGAAGAACAGAAAGCAAGCAAGAAGGAGGGAGATTGGTTTCAGTGATGCAGTGGCAGGGGAAGGGAGCGGGGCTAGCACTCATGGCTTGGTCAGCTGCCTGACAGCGGCCACAGCGGGGCGCCCAGCACCGCTCACTCCGGGAAGCTCTTGACCCAGGAGCCCTTGAAATAAATGGCGTTGGCCAGGATCAGGATGGCCTGCAGGATGCGGCACAGGCCAGGGGATCAGCCCGCCACCTACTCTCTGCATCGCGGCAATGCAGCAGTGGCGGCAGGCATGGCCGCGACCGCCAGCCGGAGCCGAAGTCTGCGAGCGCGTTGTTGGCCTCACATCTGCCACAATGTCATCCGTCACTATCTGCGTGATCTTGTTGTTGGTTGCCTCGGCAACCCAGCTGTTCACAGCCTGCGGCACAACAGGCAGGGCAGGCAGACAGGCATGTCAAAAGGGCGGTGCATCCAGCCTCAGCAACCTTGCTGCTGCTGCAACACTTGACCGTTGCTGCACCAACTGCCACTGCATGAACAGCCACCAATGGCTGGAGCTCGCCTGTGCGGTGGTGAGGGTGCCCAGCGTGGCGTTGTAGTACTGCTCCAGGGAGTCACTGTACTGCTGCTGCCACCTGAGGCCCTGCAGCAGGCAGCGCAGGGATGTGAAGTTAACCATCAAGCCATGCATCGTTCGTCCGCTGGGAGAGACACAGAGGGAGGGAGAGTAGGGCTGCTGCGGTGGCGGTGGCAGCCCCGCCTGCCTGCCAGCGAGCAGGCGCGCCATAGGCGCCCTCTTGGCTGCCCACCTCTTTGAGCCAGGCGCTGTTGGCATTGTCGATGCGGATGCCGCTGTCGGGTTGGGAGCTCTGCACAGCAGGCCCGGGCGTACACGTGCTGAATGCACACCAGCAGGAGCACCCAGTGGATACTTGAAAGCCGGGGATGTTTGAAAGGGGCAACCGGCGCGAGCGGCCCACCGCACCGACAGCAGCGCCGCGGTGAGCGCTTGGAACTCCTGGTTAAGGTCTGCCAGCGGCACCTGGTTGGCTCCAAACAGGGCCTGCTGGGGGTGTGGGCAGGCAGGCAGGGCAGGGCAGGTGGGCATCTGGTTCGGAGCATGGGCAGCATGCCTTCATCACGCCGCTGGTCATTGCTCTCCCGCCCACTACCACAGTATCATCCACTCGAGACGAGGCAGGCGTCCGATGCTGGTGCAGCGCAGGTGCTGCTTACAGCACACGCACAGCTGTTACTTACACGCTGGAACCTGCACCCCATCCCCACCAACCCACCCACCTCCAGCTGCTGGTAGGAAGTCCCGTTGGGATCTGCCCCATTCAGCAGCATGGCCAGGGCCTGTGCGATGCTGTACGGGGAGATGATGAGGCCAGGGTCGCCACCGGGCTTGGTCTGCAGGGCGCAAGAGCAGTCGGCGAGGCGCCAGGGGCGGAGGCAGCATGTAGGTTGGGCCGCAAGATCTGAAGGCTCGGCGGCGGCTGACGCCGCCAGCAACCTGCACCCGGCGCACCTCATTTGACAGCTGCGCGAAGATTTCATCGCCAAAGATGTTGACTGCTGCCGCCAGCTCCGCCTCAGCGGGCGGAACCACAGCCTCGAGTTGCAGCAGGGTGCGCAGCTCGCGGCCTGCAGGCAGCGGCGGCAGCCGGAAGCAGAGAAACACACCCATCAAAGCAACGCCTAGAGAATCGGGGAGTGATTTGGGAAGATCGGGTGGAGACACACCCTGTTGAGCGAAGCACAGGCAGAAGGCGGGCGGGCGGGCGGACGGAGGCGGCAGCGTTCCGAGCACATAGGCAGGCGCCGATGATACCGACGCCGATTTGCCCATGTGCCTGCAACTCACATGCGGCGTAGGGAATCGTCGGCGCGAGCAGCTGGAGCAGGAGAAGGCCGACCAGCGGGCTGGCCGGCCTGGAACAGCGGGGTGCCATTGATGCCTTCCGATACTTCTGCGCTGATCGCTCTAATACGAGACAAATGCGATGGTGTCACGGCATTTGGGCGGCGACGCGGTGGCAGCAGGTGCGTGGCGCCCTGGAGGTGTGCCCTGGAATCAAGCCCAATGACCCATTCCGATTGCATTGGCCCCCGTTCAAGAAATGCAAACGGTGTCGGCCGGCTCGCCCCGCCCTGCCACCCCCGCCCTGAGGCTGGCCCCCCGCCTGCGCCGTCACGGTGTTGGTAGAGCACCTCCACACCCAAAGGGGACAGACGATTTCAAGAGAATTGATTACAGAGATCGATGCAGTTCAGCATGGGTTTGCTGTATAGCCATCATGGTGCATGCCGCCGGCTCTCTGAGTTTGCGCCCCGACGTCCTGAAGCGCTGGCGCCGAGCCTGCCATATCGGAGCGCTGCGGCGCTTCCAGCGCCTCGGCATGATGTATTACCACATGAGTCGACTCTTGGGCATCGCTACAGTTACAGCCATCAGCCCGCGGCCTTCAAACGGCCCGGTAGCCGGGGAGCGTGCTGTGCTTCGGTCTGGGCCGCGGCCCACCTCCTTCACATAACCAGCATCGATCACCGACTCGATCGTACTTCACGTTGTAAACCGACCTCGCCCTGGCCCTGCCGGTGTTGGGGGAGCGGAGCACACCACAGGGGGGCACTTGCTCGCTCGAGTTTTGTGTTGCCTGCCGTTGCCTGTCCTCCCTCGGCTTCCACCGGGGCTGGTTCCACGGCACCCTGCCCCGCAAGCCGCCCACCAACATGCGGAGACATGGCGCGGCGATGTGCTGCGTCTTCCTAGCCCTCCAGGCAGCGGGCTTGGCATCAGGTGAGGACGCTGGGATGCCCAGGCCTCGCCAACGGCCTGGCAGGGAGCTCGCCCAACCCACCGCGTTGCCACCGCTGTGGCCGCCGATACCCATCTCGTTGGAATTCCTACCCGACCCCGGGCTCCCCGCTCGGACACTGACGCCGCTTGATCGGTATGCGCGCGCCTGCAGGCCGGCGGCTACTTGACGAGCCCGCCGCCGCCGCCAGCCCGCCGCCGCCGCCGTCGCCGCAGCAGCAGCTCGCGGTGCTGCCCTCCTCGGCGCTGCCCGCCGACGAGTCGGGCACTAGCAGCGAGACGACGGCGCCCGGGACAGTAGAGATGAAGATCATCAACGGCGACCCAGCGCCGGCAACTGACTATGGCTTCATGGTGGCTCTCCTCCAGAACGGCCGCTTCTTCTGCGGCGGCACCCTGCTGGATGCCACCTCGGTGCTGACCGGTGAGCTAGCCTGGGGCACTGCCAGGGCGCGGGTAGGGCAGTTGGTGGCGGTGCCGGGCTCCCGGCAGCACGCTGGGGGCACGCCCACTAGCAGACGGGACATGGGAGTGGCAGGCACCCTCGCCGCTGGTACGCGGTGCGCTCCTGCTGGCATGCCTTTGCCCGGCCCTTCCCACTGCAACCGACCCCGCTCGTTCGTCTTCGTCATCCCCTCCCTGCAGCGGCGCACTGCGTGGTCGACACGGGGCTGGCGGAGGACCCCTCGGGCTTCTCCGTCTGGCGCTCCGACGGCACCATATATGATGTTGCCAGCGTGTTTGCCCACCCAGGTGCGACCCGCGCCTCCCCCTGCTCGCCCTGCGCTGCATCACCATGCCAGGCCTAGCCGCGCAGGGCGGAGCACACCTGCTCGCCCCGCCGCCGCGCCCCAAACAACGCATCCACGCCCGCCGCCGCGCCGCCGGCCCTGCCCTGCCCCACCACCGGCGCGAACGGAGGTCCCCGCTACCAGTGCCTGGCGCGCCCGCGCCGTATCTGCGCCGCCGCGCTTATTAATCAGTACCCCCGCACCTGCGCCACGCACCTGCCCGCGGCCGCCTGCGCCTGCAGGGTACAGCCCCGACACCATCCCGCGGGACAACCTGGACCTCACGTTTGAGGGGGAGCTGCACGACCTGGCGGTGCTCAAGCTGGCGGCCGAGGTGCCCGCCGTGGAGGCCGTGGCCCTGCCCAACGCCACCTCCCCGCTGCCCGCGGGCCAGGCGCTGCTGGTGGCGGGGTGGGGCACCACGGAGAGC